GGCTATGCGAGAGCTTCCTCCCATCTTCTCTCCCGGGGATGTGAGGACGGTCTCTTATCCCATCGGCAGGAAAAGAATGAGGCTCAGGGAGACTCAGTGATGGATTCCACGTCACACAGCTTCTGAGCGGTGGAACCTGGACTTCAACATGGACCTGTCTGACTGCTAATCGTACGTTCTTTCCAGTATATACGGAGGAGAAGATGCTGTCAGAGCCCCACCCATGTCCCCTTGGCACCTGCTGTTCCCATACAGGCTGCTGGTGTCCAACTGTGAGCGCCTGGGACTGTACTGAAGGTTTTCTCTCTCAGTGCAGGCAGAGGGCGGGCTGGAAGTGCCCCGAGAGTTACGTCCCCAGGAGCAGCCCTCAGCCAGCCAGGGCGAGAGTTTGAAGATAAATACCCAGACCTCCTCGCCCCACAGGGGGCAGCCATGAGGTGTGTTCTTCACCGTCCCCCAGAAGTCCCCGAGGGACTGAGTCTCAATTGCCCACGCAGCCGTCTGCTCATTGATGCACCCTCAATCGGCTGCTTCTCCTTTCTTCTCTACCTCCCCATGCCCCTCCTGGTGCTTTCTGGAATCACCTCCCAGAGAAACTACTGCACTGACATCCTCATCTCTGGGCTGGCTTCTGGGGGATCCCAGCAGTATTGCTGCATAATAAATTACCACAAACGAAGTAGCTTAAAACAACACACATTTCTTATCTCACAGTTTCTGAGGGTCAGGACTCTGGTTGTGGCTCGGCTGGGTCCTCAGCTTCAGGGTCTCCGACAGGCTGCAATCAAGACATCAGCCAGAGCCGGGGTCTCATCCGAAGACCCAGCTGGGGAAGGATCTGCTTCGAAGCTCACTTAGGCTGTTGGTGGAATTGGGGCCTGTCAGACTGAGGGTCTCAGTTCCTAGCTGGCTGTCACCACAGTCACCGTCGGGTCCTTCTACGTGGACCTTTGCAACATGGCAGCCTCTTCATCAAAGCATGCAAGCCGAGAAGAAGGCAATAGAGAGAGTCTGCTAACAAGATGTAAGTTACGATCTTACGTAGCCTGATCACAGAAAAGACAGCTTATCCCTTTTACCATATTCTGTTAACTAGAACAAGTTCAGGTCCTGCCTGTTCAAGGGCACAGCTAATGGTGTGCTAGAGCCCGCCCATGCCAGCTCGTGAGAGCCAATTGTGGGCATCTCTTCCCAAGCCCACTTCCAGTGACTTCGCGTGGGTCACTTGAAATCGCATGGTGGCAGTGTTTACACCATGGGAATCAGCCAACACTACAAACAAGGGCGTTTTTTTAGAATCAGTTGGATTCGACTGGAATGGAACAGAACCAGACATGATTAAATGGAATAGAATAGAATAAAACAGGATAGAAAATATCGAGGCGCATTGCACAAATTAAGAATAAGTGTTTTTCACTAAACTTTTATTTCAGATACGTGCACGTGTGTGTGTGTGTGTCTACAGGGTTGCAGAGAAAAAGATATTTCACCTGCGGATGGAGGTCAAAAAAGTTTCAAAGTCATTATTTTGGCATGTCTCCCCAACTATGGAGGATGGAAAACTAAAAACGACGTTTCCAAGGATGGCTTGCAGCTGGGCGGTCCGTGCGGTTTAGGTTCCACCGATCAGACGCACCTGTGCGAGACTTGGATGCTGGAAGGAAGCAGAGGCACCATGTCCGCTGCTTCTCTTTCTGCAGCAAATAGAAATAGAGCCTCAGAGCCGGGTCACTGTGTGGGGTCATGCAGGCTGCAGGGGCGCCCTGCACATCGACTGGGGGCCGTGTTCCCGTCGCCTGTGATGTGAACAGCATCCCCAGCCGTATGATGCCGCAGCCCTACTGGACGTGTCGGTGGACTGTATTACTGGAGATCTCAGTGTCGCAGCTCTGGCTCTTTGCGGGGTCCAGAGGCCAAGCATGGGGCATCCACGTTTTGGTGGGATGAGTTTTGCACGTGCAGCCTGGTTCTGGTTGTGGTGGCATCTTTCTCCTCGTGGACACAGGCCCAGGTGGTGCATTCTGAGAGCTGGCGGTTTGAGTGGTGGCCTTCTGATTTCTTAGCTTCCTGATTATAGCAGAGCTGAGCTCCCTGGTTGAGCTCATCCTGGGGCCTCCTTCCAACCATTTTGTAAGAACCCATTTCCCCGTGTTTAATCTCCTCTGGCTTAACATATCTAGAGCAATGTCTTTATCTGTAATTAAACCCTGGCTGATGGGGCCCCCAATTCAGCTCACATTAGTGCTTTGTAAATTAGGTCAACTTAGAGTTTCATATTTCTTTTTGTTTCCTTATTTACCCATTACTCAGATTCTACACAAAGAAAGGCCTAGAAGCTGACCCAACAGGCAAGAAAACTTTCTTCTGGAAGTGTAGGGGTGATGATGAAAAGATCACAAACTCTTATTCTATATATTTTCCTTATCTTTGTCACCGAAGAAACAACGAAAAAGACAACCTCGGGGGTTTACAATCATTATACAGGATTTGTGTCCTCCAGACCCACACTAGCCGGAATTTGAAGAGGAGCACAGGGCAACAGAGGAGGGAGAAGGAAAGTCTGGCCCAGAAGAACTCCACAGCCTCGCCTGCTCCTACCCCCCTGCTGGCTCAGGAGGGGCTGCCCACATTCCTTGGGCCGTGGCGCCCTCCTCACAAGGACATCACCCCAGCCTCTGCTTCAGTCTTCATGTCGCCTTCTTCTGGCTTTGGCTCCCTTGTCTCCCTCTCATAAGGACACTTTCGATTACATTGGGCCCACCCAGATAATCCAGGAAAATCTCCCCATCTCAAGACCCTTAACTTAATCACAGCTGCAAATCCCTTTTGTCCTGGAAGGTGACATATTCACAGGTTCTGGGGACTACGGCACGGACAGCTCTGGGGGCATGATTCTGCCCACCATGCCTGTGGTCCCGAGGGTGCTGGCTTTGGGAGACGTGGAGCCGTTGTGCGGCCTGGGGCCTGACGTGATTCTCCCACGCGCACTGGCTGTTACACTGAAACACGTGACAGGGGATATAGTTCTCTCTGCTTTGTACCTTCCCCTTTGGCCATAAACTTGACCCAGAGCAGGCTGCTGCCAGTGCCCAGCGCTTCCTTTCTGCAAGCCCCAGATCTGGGCTCCATGAAGGAGCCAAGACCAGAGACAGCAAGTCTAGCTCCAGATAGCTGGCCATTCAGCTAACTTTCACTGAGCGCTCACTGTGCCCCAGGCGCAGCATGGGTGCTAGACATCCTGCGGAGGGCCAGACAGAGAGCACGGCGCATACATCCTCGTGGCGATGACATGAAACACACCTGCAAGCAAGCAAAGAGACAGCTGAAGGTATAAATGCAGATGGAAGATAATAATGGATATGGGCATGATAAAACCCGTAGACGTGATAAAACCCTTTGAGATGATGGATCAGGGGTCAGCAAACATTTTATTTAAAGGGCTGGATATTTCAGGCTTTGTGGGTCTTGCAGTCTCTGCCTCAACTCCTCAAATCTGCCATCGTTGCAAAAGCAGCCGGAAACAACGCTTAAACTAAAGGGCGCGGCAGTGTTTCGCTGAAGCCCCACTCACACAAACAGGTGGCCTTTGGCCCACGGATTGTCACTTGCTGACTCCTGTGATCGAGTGAAGCAATGTGGGATGGGACAATATTAGGCAGAGTGGTCAGGGAAGGCTTCTCTGAGGAGGTGGCATTTGAGCTAATACCCGAATGATGCAAAGAAACCGGCCATGCCAAGACTTAAAAGAAGCATGTTCCAGGAAGTGGGAACATGAGGGTGCTGCCCTGAGGTACAAACCGGCCTAGTGTGTCTGAGGAGCTTATTAAGCCCATGCGGCCAGGGCAGTGGAGGGAGGGAGAGGCTGGGTCCGTCAGGGCTTTAGTGACCCAAGGTGCCTCACTCAGGCGCCTGGCAGGAAGGTGATCATAGTCTGAAAGGGCTAACTAAAGGGAGTTTAATGAAGGTCAGAGGTGGGGACCTGGTTAAGGGAAGGATGCTGACGCCTCCAGAGGCTAGCAATGGTGGAAGCTGCACCCTTCCGGAACCCGGGGGGAGCTGTAGCCATGGGAGGGGGGCCATGGCCAGACACGCTGTGGCTGTGGGTGACAGAATGTGACGTCTGCCGAGTAAGAGCCCAGAGGGTTGCAGGAATAAGTGTGCCAACCCTCTCTGCCTCCCCAACCTGGGATCGCCCGCTGCACCCTCCCACTGGCTGGGCCCAGCTAGAAGTCAGAGGGCGAGGGAGCCAAGGTGGCAGATTCACAGAGGTCAGACTCCTGGGAAGAGGGTAGGCAAGAGAAGGGCGGAGAATGATCTGGAGGGAAAACCAGGAAATGCCAAGCCCACAGGGCGGGGAGTTGCGATTTTATTAAATAACTTCCATAGGGTTAGATTTCCCAGATAAATTACGGGTTACCCAGTGGAATTTGCATTTCAGATAAACAACAAATATGGGTTTAGTATAAGTACATCCTGGGGACATACTTCTACTCAACCCTTATTTATCCGAAATTCAAATTGAACCAGATGTCCTGTATTTTTATTTGCTCAACCTGGCAATCCTAAATGGGGAAACTCTGAAGGAATTTGAATCAGAGGAGTGATACAATCTAATTTAGGATTTAATAAATACTTTTATTTATAAAATCAAGAAAATTTTAGCTTATTGTAAGTTCAGAGGATTCAGGGGCACATAAATAAGATCCAGGAGCGTTTGGATGCGTTTGTGATGCGAAGTCTCTGTCTAGAGGTAAAGCAGCGGATGCGGACGCAAGGCTTGACCAAGCCCCCAGCGGCCTGGAGCCCCGGGAGCTGTCCCCGCACTTGCGTGTCTTCTCTGCATAGTTCTTCTCTCTTCATCGAGGCCTTTTGTGCCCAGTATTTCATTCCTCCCTCACCGTTCCCATGTGGAAAGTAGGTCTCATCGATTGTTATCATATAGTCATTATGCAGATATAGAAACCAAGGCTCAGAGAGGTGAAGCAACCTACCCAGGATCACACAGGGAGGCAGCAGAAGGACCAAGGTTACAACTCAGGTCTGTGCAGTCCAAAGCTCTTTCCGCTGTGCCCCCACTGCTCTCTGTTCTTCCAAGTGTCCAGTGTGCAGTAGGCCTGTCTCTCCAGGCTGGGTGCTCGCTGGCAGGCCCTGCTGTCCGGAGCACGAAGGAGTCCCCTGGGGCAGCTGCTGGCCTTGAAGCCTGTCATATCTCTGCTGCAGCCGGGCGTGAAGGTGGCGGATCCGCCTTGCCTCCTGGGTGGGGAAGAAGGAAGCAGCGATGGTGTGGCGCAGGCGGCGCGCGTAGGCCTGCAGGAGGACCGTGGAGCAAGCCCCGAGTTGCAGAAGGCCCGCAGCCAGGGGTGCAGCCGAGCCGGGGCGCCGGGCGGGCAGCAGCGGGCAGCTGGGGGCCGTGAAGCGGAGCTCCCAGTGGAAGGTCCTGTGGGCAGACAGGGAGGGGCTCTCCGGGGGCGGCTGGTTGAAGAGGAAGGAAATGAAGCCCAGGACGGTGTATGCAGCCTTCAAAGAGGAGAAAACGGCCACGTCAGCAGACAGACAGACACTCCAGCCATTCCCTGCCCGCCCCCACTTGCAGATGCTCACAGAGCTGGACCGGTCCAACTTTCCCCGCCTTCATCTGCAAAATGGGCACAGAAGCAACTCCTGCCTCCTGAGGTTTGAGGAGGATCAAATGAGATCAGGAGTCTGAAACAGGCTTTTTGCCAAATAAAAGGTGCCATACAAATGCTATTTTTATTATACTCTCTTTGAGCAGAATACTTCAGAGAAAACAAATGAATGCTCGCAGGCATCCACGCTTTGCTGAGCCCTCGGTGAACACGGTAGATGTTCTATTCCATCAAATAATCACAATCCTATGAGGCTCAGCCCAGCAGGAGCCTCGTTGAAAAGATGCGGAACCTGAGGTCACACAGTGGGTTACGTGTGGCCAGCCCAGGGGTCGGTCCCTGCAGGGCCGGGTCTCGGTATCCTGCTCATAAGTATAAGCTCTACAATTTCCACGGGGTGCTCTGGAGCCAGGAAGAAGGGTGTCCAGAAAGGAGGGATGTCAGAGGTTAATCATCTGAACTTGGAGGCAGACTTATTAGGCTGGATCCTGGTTCCACCCAGGTTCTGCCCGACTTCTCCGTTAGACACAGTGCTGGGGGTCCATGGTACCTTTAGGGACCTATGAAAATATTCTATTTTCTTTTAAAATCAGAATAAAAATGAGTTTTTAAGTTGAGGAATATGTTTCACTCTCTAATAGGAATATATTTGTCATTATCCCAATGCTGTCATTAATATTTTTTACAGAGAAAGGCGTCCATGTAAGTAAATGTGCCTGGGGCCCACAAAAGTCACAGCACAGCCCTGCCACCCAGGTTGGATGAGTTTGTGCAAGTCCCCTAACTTCTCTGACCCTCAGTATCTTCATCGGTACAATGGCAATGATAGTACTTTCTATCTTAGAGGATCGCAGTGACAATTAAATGAACTATCTTATTTCATCAGTTCTGGGATTCTTTTTTTTTTTCACATTTTAATGTCTTTGAGATCAAGATGTGTCTTCATATCAATATGACTTGCAAAGTGGTGCCAATTCGTGCTTGCTGAGAGGGTCAGAGGGTGCCAGTATCAATGCTTGCGGGGTTGGTATCTGCAGCTTGCGAGAAAATGCTGGAAATGATAATGGGGCGTCACCAGTGCTCGAAAGGCACAGAGAACAGTATTGGGTGAAAAGCCACAGACACTGACAGCGCGGCCAGAGTCACTCAGAAGAGTCAGGCTGGATGGGAAGAAGTTTTAGGGAAATCTTCACCTAAGTATTTCGCTATGTGTCTTGCTATCTGTACATGAGAAAGATATGTTACAATAAATCTATGTTAAATAATAAATGAGCTATTTTTTTCTAATTCTAATTGATAAGAAGGCTAATTGATTTCTAATAAGAACTCTGACAGAACGCTAAATGATAAGAAGGCATTGTGTCATGGTTTAATTGGCAGCATTTTCTTTGCTAACGATACATAAAATGAGGACATGAATTGCAATCAGTGGCATCTAAGATTTGCTGAAATACAGCAAATCAGGGAACACACTTGGGACATTGCCACATTTCTTCACTTTGCTCTACAGTAAGAAATGCATTTTACAGCCCCTTCCAAGCACAAATAATATTGTGATTGAAGAAAAATTTCATAAAACAATGCATACCCTTATCACCTATAATATACTCTAATAAATATCTAGTCTGTTCTATTTCATTGGGAAAAAAAAAAAAGCTGACCATGGCCCCTAGATTGATTAAGTTGATTTCATGCCGTTTGAAAAAAACACTTTCCTAGTCTACAATAAGTACTCAATAAATATTAGCTATTAGTATTATTAGCTCAGAGTCTGACACTTTGGTATGTTTTATGCAATGGACTTTTGTGTGAAATCTCAGCATTTAAAATAAAAAAAATACAAAGATTTGTGGCCAAAGAAAAGATTGAAAACCACGAATCTTGATGAGATAGTAAATATGTCCAATAGTAAATAGATAGCAAGTATTTTATATATTACTGTTAAAATAGTAAATATTTTAGGCTTTGCAGGCCATACGTACCCGTCGTAACTATTCAACGTCGCTCTTGCAGAGCAGCCACGGACAACATGGAAACAAATGGCATGGCTGTGTTCCAGTAAAACTCAATTTACAAAATCAGGAAGCCCGCAGGATTTGGCCCGTGGGCCGCAGTTGGTGGCTTCCTGGTCTAGCCTTTTCCCAAGACCCCTCCAGTCTGATATTCACAGATATGAGCTATTAATAATAGCCAGTATTTATGAGCCATCTCCTAGGTGGCCTGGAGCTTACCAGGTCCTTCTAGAAACCATCACATTTGAAGACTCACAATAACCTTGTAGGGTCAGCAGGATTGATCCAACTTGTGCAAGAGAGGACATGAGGCTAGAGCAGGCCGCCACTGTGAATGGAGGGACCTCGGGGGCGAGTTATTTTAATATCTCTGGGTATCAGTGTCCTCACCTACAACAGGGGGTGAAAAGAGAACCCCTGTGTCGGGCTGTTGTGGGAATTAAAGGAGGCCACCTGCCGATGCCCCGGGGTCCCACGGCTTATCCAAGGGCTACGACCAGCAGGCAAGTACAATCTAACTGCGAGTCAAGCGTTTAAGACCCCCTCCCACTTCCCTCAAGGAAAGGACTCTATGCCCACCTCTCCACCACCACACTTACCTCGTACTTGACTGTGAGCGTGACGGGCACGGCAGGCAGCTTCTGAGCCCAGTCCACGGCTGCCTGCGCCAGGAGGAAGACCACATGGTCCGTGGCCACCGTCACAGCTGTGGCCACCAGGAGCAGGGCCAGCAGCCCCAGCCTGAGGAAACAACTCAGCAGCTCCCTTGGGGACAGCCTAGGCCTGGCCGCCCGGAGCAGCCAGGCTGGTGGGGAGGCCAACAAGTGTGTGGCCCCGGCCTCGGCCAGCTGCTGAGCTAGCTGCCGCGTGGCATAGATATTATCAAACCGCAGGTCAGTCAGGTAGCGATGGAGGTACCAGGTCGAGTCCACCAGGAGGACCAGCATCAAGAGCCCTGTGACCACCCGCTGGGTCCCCAGCACTGCCGCCCGGGCCAGGGACTCCAGGCCAGAGAAGTCTTCCAGGACCTGCTGAGTGACCCTGAGCATGTGAAGCCGGAAGGCAGAGCCATTGCCCAGAGCCTGGAGCGTCAGCCCCTGGCTGGTGGGGCCCAGAGCCCTGGATGCCTCGTGCAGCTGGTGAGTGGTGTTGAGCAGACTCTCCAGGGAGCCCTCGGTGACACATCTCAGCACCTGCCCGGCCGCACCCATGTTGGCCAGGACGTTGGGCACCACGGCTACGGCCAGGGTGGCAGCGCTCCAGGAGAGGAGCAGGCGGCGGCCCTGCTCCGTGCCCAGGGTAGGCACACTGAGTGCAAACAGGCAGCGAACTGGGGTCACCAGGCCCAGGCCCAGGAAGACCACCAGGCCACAGACAATGGCCACCAGGGCCGAGGACCCCAGAGGGTAGAGTAGCGAGGACACCAGCCAGTGGTGGGCCAGACCTGCGGCAGCAGTGGCCAGGGAGCCGCACAGGAGGAGCTGGGTCAGCAGCTGGCGGTGGCTGGCTGGGACAGGCCGAGAGAAGGCAACCCAGGCCGCCTGCAGTGGGGCGAGGGCCTTGCAGATCCCCCAGTGCCAGCATCGCCACCTGCACACAAGGAAATTGGGGACCTCTATCAGGAGGGTGGGGGGTGGGTGTCTGCCCCATGCCCCGACCCCACACACCCCTCAGCGGCTAACAGGCTCCACCCCTTTAGCCACAGGGGTGGGCACTCTTCCCAGGTGGGCCAATCAGAGTAACCCACCTCAAACCCACATGACCCAAGCTGAACCAATCAGAGACTTCCCCAGGAATATCCTCACTGGAGTTGTCAGGGGAGAGCCCAGTTTCCACGCAGTTCAGGAGAACGTGAGGGTGGGTGTCTGGGCTGCGTGCGTCCATAATTCTAGTTTTGTGAAGGCAACTGGCCCAAAGGAGGGATGGAGTCTTAGAGAGGGAAACACAGAGGAAAGAGAGAGAATGAGAGAGAGCGAAATAGGAGAGACTCTATTTCACTTGAATTCAGAGTCTTGCTTGGCTCACTGTGTGACCCCGGACTTTCCTTCTTTCTCGACCTCAGTGTCTCCTCTGTAATTTGCAGGGGAGGAGGGAAAGGGAGACTGGATCAGTTGATTTCCGAAGAACTTTCCTACACTATTGTCCTTAGATTTATTCACTCAACAGATATTTACTAAGCAACTACTATGTGCTAGTCATTGGGGAAAGAGGAATGAATAAAACAGATGAGCATCCCCCCTCCTAGATTTTACACTAAGGAGTGGTAACAGGACAGCAGGATGAGGTTCCTCCAGACAGCATGCTGATGGGGAGGAGAGAGCGCTGAGGACGGAGCCCCTGCTCTCCAGGGTGAACAGGTTGGGATATGAAGAGGGACCAGAGAAGGGGTCAGAGAACGCAGGCCGTGCAGAGCTTGGGAAGCGAAGTAGAGAAAATGCTTCAAGAGGAAGGGAGCGATCAGACATGTCAAATGCTGCTGGCGTGTCAGAAAGATGAGGACTGAGCAATGACCATTGGATTTAGTCACGTGGAGGTCACTGGTGTCCTGGACAAGGGTAGCTTGGTGGCACGTTGGGCCAAAACCTAACTAGAACGGGCCCAGGAGAGACCAGAGGGGAAGAACGTGAGACGTGAGTGCAGACAACTCCTTCAAGTCATCCGTGCAGTAAAGGAGCAGAGAAATGCAGGGGCAGCTGATGGGGGAAACGGACCAGGAGAGTTCATTTAAGACGAGAGAACTCTCGCGGGTTCGCTGATGCGACATCCAGTCAGAAGGGGGGTACATAGAAAGGGGGGCTCGCTGGAGCCACGTCCTTTGGTGGGTGGCAGGAGGCAAGACCGAGGGCGCAAAAGGTGGGGCTGGTCTTAGAATGAAGCAGGGGCTGTTCATCCTTAATGGCAGGTGGGAAGGCAGAGGAGATGGGCACAGAGGATCGCAGATGGACAAGCGAACTGTGGGCACTTATATATCACTACCCCATCTGATATAGAGGGCCATGGTTAAGGGCGTGACCTCCAGATGGCCTGGGTTCAAGTCCCCACTTCACCACTCACCATCTGTGCGACCTTGGTCAAGTTTCTTAATCTCTCTGTGCCTCAATTTTCTCATCTGTAAAATGGTGCAATGAAAGTGGTACCTCATAGGGTCATCTTGTGTCTGGCACATAGTAAGTACCATGTCAGCTCTTGTCTGTCACTAGAGCATCAACTCCCTGGGGCAGAGACTTGGTCCCTTGGATCACTGGCGTATCCCAAGTGCCTGGATTAGCATCTAACACGTAGTGGGCGCTCCATAAATATTTATGGACTGTAGTATGTTGGCGTCCGTTTGCTCCTGGTAGCAGGAAGTGAGGGCAGCCCTGAAGGTGAGGATGCTGGAGGAGGTGATAGAGGCTGGAAGATGAAGAAGGTATAAAATAGTTCTCTAGGAGAGCGGGAGAGTAAATGAACTAAGGAAATGATACAGGCCCACAACTAGAAGGACCTGCAGCTAAGATATACAACTATGTACGGGGCGGGGGGGGGGGGGCAGTTTGGGAAATAAAAGCAGAGAAAAAAAAAAAAGACAGGCAACAGTTGTTAGCCCAGGTGCCAATCTTAAAGAAAAAAAAAAAAAAGAAGTGCTACAGGTGCCAGGCAGCATTGAGGACCCACTGAGGTCAGAGATGATAAATTCAGGCCTCGTCATTGTCAGGAGACCAGCTGCCACGTATCGAGTGCTTGCTGTGAGGGGAGCGCAATAGCAAGCCCTCTGCAGGCGTTTGCTCATTCAGCTCTCACAACAGCCTTGTAGACGTTATTATTCCTCTCATTCTACAGATGGGGAAACTGAGGCTCAAAGTGGCGTGGATTTACCCAAGGACACACAGCCGGGGAATGGCAGAGCTAGGCTCTGCCAGGAAATGAGACCTAGGCTCATATCATCGTGCCTGACCACTGACTGTTTGCTTGCCCGTGGCTCCCAGTGTCTGAAGTCCCCAGACCTACCCGGTCCTGACGAGGCTCTCGGCTGTCCCCCGAAGGGCTCTCATGCTCCCGGAATAGCGGCAGATGCGGGCAGACGGACTCAGGCGGCGATGGGAAGTGGAGAGGAAGTGTGGGCAATTGGGTCCTCTAGGACTCAGGAAACCCTGTCACTTCTGCTTTCCCACCCTTAATTAAGCCCTCCTGGTCACCTTGTCCCGCCCTGCCTGGGCCCACCTCCCCCACCTCCCTGGGGGTTGGGTGGGCTGCCACATTCTCTTCCGGGAGGGCAGGCAGGAGCGGGTGGAAGGTGGGGAGGAGAGAGAGAGAGCCTTTTCCAAGCACCATCTCTAATCCTGAGAGCAGAAACCCGGGCCTACCTCCATTTTACAGAGGAGGAAACTGAGGCTCAGAGAAGTCACGCAGCTCATTAGTGGTAGTGCCAGGACTAGAACTCTGCTCGGCTGCCCCCTCCCCCCGCCCCCCACCACAGCAATGCACCCTGGAGGAGCCTGACCCCAGCTCTTCCGGGTGGGAACCCACAGGAGACCAGGGGACCTCTGCTGAGACTCTTTTCCAGCCGTGAGTGGCCCTGGTCTCCCTCCCAGCCCTCCCTGTCTTTAGCCTGACATGGACCTGGCTTCAAAGCACAGCTTTGTCCCTCCCTAGCTGTGTGACCTTGGGCAGGGGACCTCATCCCTCTCAGCTCAGTTTCCTCCTCTTACTAAAGATTAGTGCTAATGACAGTTAACACGCATTGAGCACTTGCTATGAATCGGGCGTTCTTCTGAACAGTTTCTGTTCCAATTCACTGAGTCCGTACTTCCAACGACCCTTTGTGGTAGGGACTGTTCCTAACTCCATTCTTCAGTTCAGAAAACTGAGACCCAGAGTGTTAAGTCCCTTAACCAAGCCGCTTAGCCAGTAAGAGGTAGAGCCATGATCGTGCCCAACAGTCCCGCTCCAGAGCCCACTGGTCAGCCGCTGTGCTCTGCTGGTGCGGAGGGAAGGATTCACAAGACTCATGGTGGCCTTGTGACGCCCTTGGCTCTGCAAATGGGAGGCACTCGATCAGTGTGAACCCCCCTCGTGCTGTGATGCAGGCCCACGTCCACATCCTTCTGAAAGCCAGGCCCTACCCGGAAGGCGCACACCTCTCCCCCAGCCTCTCTGCGCCCCATCACGGCCAGCAGATTGCCTCCTCCAAGACGTCTCTCCTGGGCCGCCAGCCCCCAGCCTGCAGGATGGTCCTTTTGAGTGGGGTACCCCTGGGCCGTTTTCCTGTCTCCCCGTCATTTTCCCTTATAAGGACGGATTGCTGGGGTCTCTTGCTCAGGCCTGAAGGAGTTATCCTGTGGCCCAGATGGGGGAAGTGACGTTCTCATAGTCACACAATTGGATGACACACCTGTGGCCCTCAGGGAGCCTAACACACTTCCCAGGCCCTGAGCCCCTCCAGGAAGCCAGGCCAGGCTCCACATCTGCCAAGAACTGGGCACACTGAGGAGACCAGGAGCAGGAAACGCACGCACCTGCTGGGGCGGGCCAGCCAGGGTAGGGAGCGAAGCCGGCCCGTGGAAACAGCAGGGAGCTGCTGCGTGTGGACCAATAAGGGCCGCTTCTGCTTCGCCCCAGCTGAGGGTCAAAACCCCTTGAAAACGAGGCTCAACATGACTAGATTTTCCAATTTTTCCAAAGCTGTCATTCCCATTTTTATGTAACAGTCTCTTAGTTTTTAAAGTCAGCATTTAAAAAAAATGAAAAACCACTGTGCAGGCCAATCTTAACAGGTCTGTGGGCCAAAGCCAGCAAGGGCCACCAATTTACAACCTCTGCAGAGGCCTCGGTAGGACTGATGCAAGGAATGCCTGGCTGTTCCTCTGAACCACAGGGGCCCTGGGCTGGAGGCAGCAGATCTGCACTTGAATGCCAGCTTTGCCACTTACTATGCTGTGTAACCTTAGGCAAGATACTGTCCCTCTCTGAACTTGTGTGTACTCTGCTATAATGAAGAGGACATTAGTACCTACTTCTTAGGGTTGTTTGAGGATTCAGGGAGATAATCTATGTAGATGCCCAGTAGACAATAGATGCATGCTCCTGCCCTGTGCCTCTGACCTGGGCTGACGGCTCTGCCTGAGTGACTCCAGGCTGCTCAGACCTGATTGTACAGGCCTCTGTGATGCCCACTGGACCAGATCCCCAGCCTGGGTCCCATCACATAGGAGACTCTAGGGCACTGTGCTGGTCGGAGGGGGGCGGTCCCCCGAGGACACCAGCATTTGCCCAGTTTCTGCTCCAGCCCCAGAACTGCTGGATTGGTTAAGATCTGATTGGTTAAGAACCATGTCAGGCATTTCCTGAAGGCTTCTGTGGCTGTGTAATGTTTGGGAAGATGGGGACATAGGCAGGCGAGGAACAGAAGCTATTTCTGGCTTTCCTCAGAGCATGTAGGCAGTCACTTCTGCCTATATAAGGCTGGCCTGTCTCCAAGGCCCACGCCCTCCGGAAGGGGCTTCTGAGTGACCTAAAATAGAACCAACTCTGCTGAGGGGAATTTCTGGAAGATTCAGAGCCATGAGACAGAACAGGAAGAGGAAGTGATAAATCTTCAGACCTAGAATCATAATCAGAGAGCCACAGAATGTTAGAGTCATGGAACTGTACTGCCTGTGGGTGTCGAACGTGGCCACCACCCAGTCAGTTGGAGAACGTGGAGATGTGGCTCGAGTCTTATCAGAGAGGCTACACTATCTAATGGACATGGCTTGTGAGCCATAGACGTATTTAAAATTTTCCAGTAGCCACATAAAAAAGTAAAATTAATTTTAATATTCTACTTAACCTAATATATCCAAAATATTATCCTTTCAACATGTCATCAATATAAAAAATTATTAATGGGATATTTTTACATTCATTTTTTTTTCTTAAAGATTGGCACCTGAGCTAACATCTGTTGCCAATCTTTTTTTTTTCTTCTCCCCAAAGCCCCCCGGTACATAGTTGTATATTCTGGTTGTAGGTCCCGCTGGTTGTGCTCTGTGGGACGCCACCTCAGCATGGCGTGATGAGCGGTGCTAGGTCTGCGCCCAGGATTTGAACTGGTGAAAACCTGGGCTGCTGAAGTGGAGCGCGCGAAGGTAACCACTCGGCTACGGGGCCAGCCCCTTTACATTCATGCTTTCCAATCTCAGTTTTTAAAATGTGGTGTATGTTTTATACTTAGGGTACATCTCAATTTGGACTGACCACATCTCAAGTATTCAACAGCTACACAGATCAAGTGGCTACTGTATTGGATAAGGCAGATACAGACCATTTCCATCATTACAGGAAGTTCTACTGTAGCCCTGCTCTAGGCCATTAGAAATGGACCTTCCAGATCGTGTAGCTTGGGAGTTATAGAATCAAATGCCTTCAGCAGCCAGGAAGGCAACAGAGTCAAATGAAGAGAGTCAGCATAAGACATTAAGGAGTGGTGGGGACTGTGACAAATAAGAACATTCACACTTCAGCTTTCGTTCTCCCACCACCACTGCTCAACTCCAAACAGTTGTTTCCAGGTAGCAATGAGGGTCCCATATTGCCAGCTCTCCTGGTATTTTCTTTTCCAAGAGAAGCCTAAGTCCAGATTTTAATGTGAAATCTCCTGAATTTTAAATATTAGCAATCAATTAATAGTTTAAAACTCATGGGCGGGAAGCAAAAAAAAAAAAGCTGACTGTGGGCTGGATGCAGACCTGGGGACCACTAGGTGGCAAGCTCTGATTCGGTCTAAACCTTCCACGCCATGTTGTCTCAGTTAGCCCCTCCAGACCAGTCTCTACCCTTCTCCCTACCTTGAGCCCCCGGAGCTGGACGTGGGTGGACTGTGGCACAGGACTCCCTTGCATTCTGGCTTCTCTTGGTGTGATGGTTAATTTTATGTACCAACATGTCTGGGCCCAGATACTCAGTCAAACAATATTCTGGATGATTCTGTGAGGATATTTTTGAAGGAGATTCACATTTAGATTGGTGGAGTTTGAGTAAAGCAAATTGCCCTCCATAACGTGGTGGGCCTCATCTAATTGTTGAAGGCCTGGCTAGAACAAAGGACCGACTTCAGAGCAAGAGGGCCTTCTGTCAGCAGGCTGCCTGTGGATTCAAACACAACCCTTTCCGTGCACACACGTCCTGTTGGTTCTGATTCTCTGGAGAACCCTGACCAATACAGCTGGGTTTGGCCGGCGGGGAGCCCCAGCAGGAGGCGAAGGGAGGGAGGAGATGAAGACGCAGGGCCGCTCCCTCCCTACGGAGTCGTCAAGGGCTGGACGTGTCCCAGCTCCCTGAGGCAGCTGTCCCTCGGACCTCGGGCCGGGACGTGCTCTCCATGACCCCTGGCCACCGGGGCCTGTGCTTTTCCTCGTGGTTTCCCTAGGTGACCCTCTGCCCACACCCTGTGACTAGACCCTTTCCTAAGCTTTCCTCAGATTAGCTAGTTTAGGTGCTTTCTCCCTCCTTTAGAGATCCTGACTATGCACTGCCATCTCTCAGATGCGGAAACCACAGTCCAAAGCAGTGAAGGACCTGCTTAAGGCGGTACAGCGTGTGAGGGGTGGAGCCAGGAGTCCAGGGGGCTTCCTGAACCCCTCGTCCACTGACGTTCATTCCACCTGTTTTTCCCGTTTACCGTCACTGCTTCCATTCCTCTGCCCACCCGGCTCGAGGTACTTCTGTCTGCCGTCCGTCCTGGAACGTGCGGTGTCTAGCCTGTCATTCTGTGCACCTGCTGTCTGTCACTTCTACACGTTGCTGTGTTTTCCACAGTGTGCTTCCTCTGTATTTTACTTAAGTACCCCCCACCCCCAGTAATGGTCACCTAGGTGGCCTCCAGCTCCTTGATACCTCAAACAACAGTGGCATGAATATCCTGCTACGTTGTCTCCTTAGGGACCCATGGGATCATTTGCTGGGCTATAAACCAGGAGCGGGATAGGGTCACAGGGAACCAGATAACGAATTCCCCGGGTTCCTGCCACAGTGCTCAGCAGGCTGATGGTAACAGTTTATCATCTCGCCAGCAGAACACGACTGTTTCTGCTTGCTCCCATTTCACCCTCACTCGTTGACCACTTTTCTAGTGTTTGCCAGTCTGATTGGCATATTGTTGAATCTTGGTTTAACTCGCATTTATCTGATGACAAGCGGGTTTGAGCATCTCTCTACAAACCTGCTGGCCACTTAGACATCCCTTTTCAGATCGGCGTGTTCATATCTCTCCCTCGATTTTCTCTTGGGTGTTACGGTAGAAGCCTTCCCAAGATGGCGGCCAACCATCCTCCGCCTGCGTGGATGCCACTCCTCCCATCCAGGAGGGGAGCCCATTTCCCTCCCCTTGACCCAGGCTAACCGTGTGGCCTGCTTTGACCAATAGAAGGGGCAGAATTGACATTCTTGGACTCCCTAGCCCAGGCCTTGAGGGCCTTGGAGCTTCTGCTTTTGCCTTCCTAGAAGCCCACTGTCACGTAAAGAGGTCCAGGCCGGACTCCTGGAGGAGCCACATGACCCTAGAGGGTCCACAGCCATCACGGACATTCCAGCTCCAGCCAAACTCGCAGCCAAGTGGCCCCGGCCACACGACGTAGAGTGGAGACAAAATGAAACGCAGAAACATGAGCCAATAAATGGCTGTGTTTGAAGGCCCCGGGTTTTGGGGAGACTTGTTCCACAGACACAGGTAACTACAACAGGTTTTTTGTTGTGTTTGCTTTTGTCTCTTCCAGTTTTGGGGAGCTCCTCGTACATTCCAGACATGAGTCCCTGGTATATTTCCAATGACTCTGCCCCACCCCTGCCACCTACACCTCCCACATGGCTGACTCCTTCTGCTCTCATTTCAGTGCCGCCCCCTCAGAGAAGTCCTCCCTGACCAGCCCGGCTGAAGCAGCCTCTCAGTCAGTTGTCACATCAGCCAATTTCAGTTTTGTCCCAGCCCGCACAGGACGCAGAGTCACTTCACTTGTTTACCCGCCTACTTTGTCTCCTCGGCTAGAGTGTAATAGAGTGTAATTCCACGTGGGTGGGGACGGTGACCCAGCATACAATCAGGGTCTAACGAAATATTGTTGAACGAATAAATGGAAGAACGAATGAACAGAGAAATGAACCACACAGACTCCAGATCAGAGGGTGAGATTACTTCCTTGTAAATTCTGGCATCAATTCATTTATCAAATATTTCCTGAGCAATTACTATGTGCCAGAAACTGCTCTAGTACCAGAGTTACAGCCCTGAGCAAAATAAAGTGTGTATTCTCCTAAGTTTATATTCTAGAAGGAGAGAAAGTTAACAGATAAGAAAACAAACGATACAGTGTCCTGACTAAATACTAAGAAGAAAAATACAGCACTAAAAATACCAGATGCTCAGGGAAGCTCTCTGGGGAGATGACATTTGAGCAGAGACCTGAATGAAGTGAGGAGACAGGTATATATTTGGGAGCAAAGCGTTCTAGGCAGAGGAAACAGCCTGTGCAAAGGCCCTGAAGCAGGAGAGTTCGAGTGTGTGGCTGGAGTGGAGCAGAGGCGAAAGAGCAGCAAGGAGGAGAGGTCAGGGAGGACGATTCTGTGGAACCCTCAGCTCAGGAATTTGGGGCTTTGAAGCTCTTTTATGTCCAGAAAGGGAAATAATCTCCAGGCACAGTGTTGATTAACATTCTTTATTTTATAGCCTTTTCAATCAGAAGTATTTGAAATCATGATTCATCTGGTTACGAGTCCCACGGATTTCTCTGGGAATGAACTCCCCCGTCCCCCGTCCCACAGAGTGTGCCCCACCGCCACGGGCTGGACCTGTGACTAAAGCCGGAGTGCTCACGCGGGAAGCAGAGAAGGAGCCGCATCTCACGCTCAGCCTCGGGGCCTCTCCTCTCTCCTCCGTGATGCATCGTGCTGTACAGAGGACAAGCCCAGGCCGGGGGTGCTGCCTTCCCAGGCTGCACTGCTCAGAGGCGGAGGGAGGGGGGACGGGAAGCTTCTGGGCCCCTCAGCTGGTGCCTTTTCCTAGGCTAGGCCAACGCTGGGCCACTGGTTCCACAACACTCCCTGAGCACCCGCTGGGTCCAGAGCTGTGCTGTTCAGGGAATGTCCGGATGCTTCTGCCTGACATGAGGAGGGGTATCACAACCCTCTTGGAGAGCCCCGCCAGCCGCGGCTCCGAGGAAGTCGCAGCTGTCCCCACGCGTAGAAGAGGACATCTGCCCACTGGAGAGACTTCACCTGCAGGCCACGTGCCGGAGGGCCTGGCTGGAGGGGACATGGGTCACCCTCGAGAAGACGGGGCCCAGGCTGGCCTAACCCCAGAATTACGGCCACAATGAGTCAGATGAAGCAGGAAAATCCTTGAAGGCTTGAACAGAGACGTGGGCTGGGGCTTGGAGAACTCCCCTGGTGTGCTCGGGAGCCCAGAGAGGGAGCAAGCAAGCTCGGCCCGGTCTCCACATCCTCAGGAGGTCATCGGTGTCCCCCACCCCCAGCCCAGTCTCCAGGGATTGAAAATAAGTCTGGCTGCTGGGTATCAGCAGGGGTAATATTCAGACAACTGGCAGAGAGTGGGCACCAACCAAGCAGACACACGTGGGCTGTCAACAGCTGGGACAACTGGACTGGAACACAGTCGCCCCCAAGGAAGATAATCCCTAAGGGCAAAGTGGTCTCTCCAGAGTGGAACCTAAAGCTGTGCCCATGGGGATTGAGGGCCTCCCATCCCAACTGTTCAAGACAAACGCCATTCCAGATGTGCTTATTGTTGCTGAAATTGGGCTCTCTTGCATACTAACCACATAACAGTTCAGAGATACAGGAGCTTGTTTCTCAGGCAGTAGATCTGGGAGATAACTGGGCCCTGAACTGCACAAGAGAGAAGGAGAAGATGTCCTAGATAAGGAACCTGTGGGCCCAAGTGGACCACTGGAGGTCACCCTTTCTTGCTGCATACTGGATCACAGAAAAGAATTGCTTGATCGTCCTGAAGGGTCTTAGCAGCAGGTGATGGCAAAAGCCTTTTGGGAGGGCCCAGCCCAAAGAGAGTCCCTAAACGGGACTCAGAGGGTCCGGAATGTGTCATTGGCCAAGGTGGATGGCAGTGCTGTGACATTGGCTGAGTGGATGTCGGCCCACTCCGGAAAGGTATCCAGCTGGAAGATGGTCTGTGCCCAAGTGTTCATGGCCAAGCTGAGCAGCAGGACGCCCATCAGGTTCATCAGGAGGCCTGTTCGCACCTGAAATGGAGCCCAGATGGAGGGAGGGTCAGCTGGGGGCCCCTCAGACAGACGGGATAACCCAGGCTCGGAATCAGGAAGTCACTCACCCAAGATCTCACAGCCGGGAAGTGATGGAGCCAGGACCCACACCCAGGTCCGCTGATGCCCGAGACCCTCCCACCTTTACGCTGCCCAAAGAGCTGCCAATGTCCCCATTCACTGAGTGGTTTCGAGGTCCCAGGGATCATGCCACGCAGTTGTCATAGGATTATATCATTTAACCCCGAAAGCAACCCTACAAGGGTTATTAATATTATCCCCATTTTACAGAAGAGGAAACTGAGGTTCAGAGAAGTTGGCTTACCCAAGGTCACAGAACTTGAAAATAATCTGGTTTGGTCATTAAACACCATCCCCCCCCACCCCCTCACACACACACTCATACACGCTGCGTGTCCAAGTAAGGCTATGCTCGCTTCTTAGGAAGGATTTTCCTTCTGGAGATGCTGACCTCTTTAAGGAGGTGGAAAGGATGTGCCCTCTTGCTCCTGTCCCAGCCGACCTCTTGGACCACTCAGTCAACCTTGGACTGACGATCCCCGTCTCCTGCCTGGGTTCTCTGGTTGCCCCACGTTAGTGCTGCCCCGCCGTGAATCGCCCGGGGAGAAAGTCACTCCCTTCTCAATTCCTCTTTGAATCTATTGCACAGAATGTCTCCCTTAGGTGCTGCCATGCCCTTAGCACTTTTCTCCTCCTTGACAATTGTACCTTTTTAACAAACAGGGGTTCAGAACCTTCTCCAGGTGACTGTTAGCAGGAGAATGTAATTATTTTGCTTTTTTTTGCATTTATTTTTAGACTTACCTTCTATGGCATGCAATACCAATCTTCCATTTAAACTTTTCTTTTTAAATCAGAAAATTTTCTTTTTAAATATTTGTATTTAAGTTTTTAAAAGATGTAAGTTGATTAGTAAAACTGTTAAACAGATATTACCATGGATGGCTCATGGAAAGGGCATAAACCATGAAGGCACGATGCCAAATAATGAAGTCCGGGAACTGCATTGTGCTGTCCGGCCTCCCTTCTAGAGGGTCTTAAAGCCCCTGGCAACTTTGGAGGGAGAGAAGGAGACTGGCCAAAGCTTTTGGGGAGCTGGCAGGAGGGTTTGGTCTTCCTTTTCCAGGATCCTGGCTCACAATGCCTGCTTGGCCCCACATTAGTTACTTTAATTAACACCTGCATCGTTACTCTCACAGGAGTAAAACCTGCAGGTGGGCACGCCTGCTCTGACCAGCTGACGGCGGGGGGCTCGGCCGTTCCTGCCTCTCTGGGCCTCCTCGTGCCCCTCTGCATCTTTCTGCCTTCCTCAGCATCTCTCAGCATGTCCCTCATTTCTCTCACTGTCTCTCTGTTCTCAGAATCTGCGCTATGTCTGCATTCCTGCCCCTCTTACTGTCTTTGTCTCTAAATAGCCTCCCAGCTTCCACACCCGTCCCTCCCGACTCTGACAATCACTCCACTCAGCAGCCAATGCCATCTTTTAAAGCAGAGGATAGATCACATCATTGCCCCGCTTAAAGCCCTTTAAAGGCCTCCCGCTGTGGTTTGAATGACACCCGGAGCCTGTGCCCGGCATCGCCCCACCCTACTCCCTAACCTCGTACTCCCGACTCTGCAGTCACACCAGCCTCCTTGCCCTGTGTTCCCAAAATGCACAGAGCTGGTCCTGGCCTCAGGGCCTTTGCACTCGCTACCATCTGCTTGGGGTGCTCTCCCTTTTTCTATGCAAGGCTGGCTGCTTCCCATTATTCAGGTCTCAGCAGCTCCTACGTCACTTCCTCGGAGGGGCCTTACCTGCCTGTTCCACGTAAAGTAATCTCCCCTCACCCATCCTCCTCTTCCAGCCCGCCATGTTTTATTTCCTTCATAGCACTTAGCAATATGGAAATTTACATCATTTAAAAAGATTGCTGTGCTTGTTTACTGTCTGTCTCCCTCAATAGAAGGCCACCCCCTTGGAGGTAGATGTTCTGTGACCCACTACCAGGAACAGAATGCACTCAGCCGACACCCATGCAACAGAGGAGCTCGTGCAACAGAGGACCGAACAAGTGAGTGAGTGTCTGTCTCCGACGTCTCTGCTCTCTCTGGTGCCTGTGAGCTCTTTCTGCCTCTCACTCTTGTTCTCTCTCTCGCCCCGTTTATCCTGTGGGCATCTCTGAGCCTGGAGGGCCTGCATCGTGAATCAGTTAAGCAGGTCACTCTTCTCAGTGGCACCAGCTTAGGGTTTGCCTTTCCTGAGTGCCCCAGGCAGCTGGAGGATGGGAAGAGGTGCAGGAGGAGGGAGGGAGGAGCAGGATAGCAGGGGAGCAAAGGGGGAGCAGGAAGGCACTGCCCTGTGACCGAGACCTGCTGAATGTCCCCACGCGCAGCCTGCGGCTTCTGCCCCCTCCCCAGCAGGCCAGGCACTGAGGCCACCCCCAATCACAGGGGGTGGTCCACTGCTCCTCTCTTCTAAAGATTCTGGGCACGGCGCAGCTGGCCACACAAGTGAGAGAGAGCGTTGCCCAGAGTGAGGGGGACGCCCCTTGTCCCAGAAGCCAACGGTGGAAGGCAGGCCCTGCGGCAGTGTTTCCTGAGGTTCTCTAAGTGGGAGAAGAACCCCAGAGTGTTTGCTAGAATGTGTCTTCCTGTCCCACTGAGAGTGACCTATTCAGAAATGGGGGGGACTCCTGCCTAGATGCCTTACCCACCACCCAGTGTCCACCCACCCCTCTGGGCCTCTGTCAGAAAACGCCCAGACTCACCATGTCCTTGACCAGCAAGTGTCCGGAGGCGAAGGCGATTGAGTTGGGGGGCGTCGAGACCGGGAGCATGAAGGCGTAGGAGCAGCCCACCGTGCCGGGGATCATCAAATACAGGGGGTGCACTCTCAGGCGGATGGCCTGGGCCCGGAGGGGCAGGAGGACCGAGACAGAGACATACAGGGAAACCACAACAAGAGACAGAGACAGACGTAGAGACGAGAGACAGAGACACGTGGACGGTGATTGGCAGAGAGAGAACAATAGGAACAAATGAGAAGGCAGGTTGGTTTAGAGACACGCAATGAGAAATGCAGCCAGAAATACAAATACACAGAAAATAGAGATAGAAATACGCAGAAATAGAGATGGAGAAGAAGAGAACCAGACCAAGGGAGAGAAGGAGAGAACATTCCCAAGGTTAGTGCCATTCCGGGGCCACCCTGCAGGTTCATCAGGGAGGACGGGCTGGGGAGATCTGTCTAGATGCTCCTTGCCCACCAGTGCATGAGAATCATGTGCAGGGATTAAAACGCAGATTGCCGGCCCCGCCTCCCCGAGAGCTGCTGACTCCACGGGTCTGGGGTGGCTCCAAGAACGTGCTTTTCTAACAAGTCCCGAGGTGATGCTGATGTGGCTGGTCCAGGGACCACGGCTCTGAAAGTCCCCTGCCTGGTCCTCCTCTCAGCGAGCCTGAACAGCTGGCCTCCGGCACGTTTAGTTGCAGACTCACCTGGTTTCAGAGCTACAGAGAGCTCACGATAGCGCCTGTTGGCAAGCATTTCCAAATTCCTAAGACTGTGTGGATCAAGCAAACATGTCTGTGGGCTGGCCTCAGTCAGTGGGCCACCAGTTTGTCACCACCCCCAAATGACATATGTATTCGCCTGCAATCCACGTTGATCAGTTCTCCAGCATTTTATTTAAGATAGGACATTTTTGGCCCCTCTGGGGAATTTTTGCAACTCAAAGCATATAAATTTTCTCAAAAAGAACTAAAATCACCCCCTTACATATCAAATGTTTTGATTTTGATTTTGATTTTGATGATGAGCAACATTTAGAAGAATGTGCCGTTTGCTCGCGTCTTCTCCAGCAAAAGTTGCCCCTGCAGACCCCGCTGGGTCTCTCCCTCCCCTCCCCATAGCACCCCATGGCACCCCATCTCTCTCGATTGCCGGGTCCCCCAGATTGTGGGGAGGATGTGATTGAATCCAACCACACTTAGCAAGGCAAGGGGACCCCGCCTCACCCTGCCGGCGGGACTGTAAAATGGCATGGCCACTTCGGAGGGCGATTTGCCCATGTCTGACAAAATTGTACATGCGCATGCTCTTTGATCCAGCGATCTCAGCTCCAGGAATTTACCTAGAAATAATAAAAGGCGCACAGACAGGGAAGGTCCAGGCAGCACTGCTGGATAGCAGCAGAGCTGGAAACAACCTAAATGTCCATCCGTAGAAGACTTCTTCAGAAAATCGACAACCATCCACCCATAATGGAATGCTCTCCAGTCAGTGAAGAAGTATACCTCTGTGTGCTAATACAGTGTGATTTCCCTTATAAATTGATGCATAACAAAGCAAACAAGAAAACAAAACCAGAGTGGTTCAGATAAGTGTGCCTGGTTTAACACTGTTTGCATGCAAAGCATATGCTTGCAACACTGAATTTCATTTTATCAATTTTGGATTCTATTGCAATAATCATATGGTTTGGCCTTCTTTAATCTATTTCAATATAAAACCATGCTGATAGTTTCTAATGCTAATCAGTCTGGAAATTCCCGGGATAGACTCTGCGTGCCCGTGACCTATGCTTCCTTTCACCCGATGCTGGATTCAGGTTGCTCTGCATCTTTCTTTACCTGCGGGATCGGGGTCTGGCTTTCTTTCCTTTGCTCTCCTGTTTGGTTTCCGTGTCAGGGTTTTGCTAAGCCTGTACCTGGACTGATCGGCCTTCTCCATCTCTGTGCTCTGGAGCACTCAGTAGGAGCTGTCTGTTCCCTGAATGCTGCTGGCTCTCACCTTCGCCAGTCCTCTGGGCCTGGTAGTTGTTAGAGCAGTGGTTCTCAACTGGGGACGATTTTGTTCCCCCAGGGGACCCTTGGCAGTGTTGAGAGACATTGTGGATTACCACCAGTTAGGGTGGTGCTTTGGGCATTCGAGGAGTCAGAGATCAGGGACGCTGCTAACCATCCTACAATGCACAGGACAGCCCCACAGAGCAGAGAATTCTCTGCCCCAGTGTCAGCAGGGCTGAGAACGCCTGCGCTAGAGCGGGCCGGGGCTTTGCCTGTCGTGCGAGATTCTCCTGTGGTTATTTGTCTATTCAGATTTTCTACTTCTTCTTAATCCAAATTTGGTAATTTGTATTTTCCTAGAAAACTTTCCAAGTCACCAGGGGTTACTTTTCCCAAAGGAAGGAATTTGGTGCACTTTGAAAATATTTACCCTATTTATGCATTTCTTAAAGAAAGATAAAATAGTGTTTTTGAAAAAGTCACGGTTCTGACACTTTCACGTGTTTTGGGAGAGAGCAGTGACCACTGTAGCCCCTGATGGAGCTCTGGGTGGCGGGGGAGCCATTTCTGAACCTGTGTCCGGGGAAGGGTGTTCCTCCCCACCCCCCAGTTCCCCATAAGACCCTCACCAGCTCCGCCAGGACGGGCAGGAAGATGATGATAGTGGCCGTGTTGCTGGCAAACTCGGTGAAGAAGGAGATGACCACGGTGATGAGCAGCACGGCCAACACGGGCGGCACGTTCTCCAGGGGGTGCAGCTGCCCGCCGATCCACGTGGACAGCCCCGACTCCTGCGGAGGGCAGGAGACAAGGTGCACCACTCCACTCCCCAGCCCACCCCCAGCTGCCACCACTGAGGGCTGGGCCCAGGAGGGAGGGTTGGGGTTCTCACAGCGAGGACAACCGCACCCCTTCACACACAGGTCCACTGAGGTTCCCAGCGGGCAAGTGACCTGCCCAAGGTCACACATTTGACCCTGGACTTAAACCAGCTTCTCTGCTTCTTGAACTGCTCTCTGCTCCAGACTCTGCAGGCCTGGGGCTCAAACTATCCACTTGGTCCTAGCACCCCTAGCTCTAACTTGAGGGGGCAGAGGGGAACTGGACCCTCTCTGATAAATCTTCCTGTTCCTCCAACGATGGTTACTGATTACAAAAATACTAACACAATCATTTATACAAATATTAATCTTGTAATTATATATCAACACACATCAAGTGTATAATATATATACAAGATATACTATATATCAGATAATATAAAACATGTATCAGATATATCTCAAATACATTATCAATGATTATGAATAATAAAGATATTTATGATCAATAATAAGGATGATTAGTACAATGATAACACAAATATTGCCATTATTGACACTGTGTTATTTATTATCCTAAGAATCGCCATTACTGAGGCTCCTGGGGGCGCCGGGCACCTGCACGCGTATCTCCTGACTCCTCTGAACCACCCCATAAGGAGCCGTTAATCCCTGTGTTACAGAGGAGGAAACTGAGCCTGGCAAAGTTTTTGTGACTTGCCCGCGGTCCCCGAAAGTAATGACTGAGGTGTGTTCCACACTCGGGGCGGGTGCTCCTGTCAGCTGACGTGCTCCCGCAGAGCTCCCGTCCCCAGCACCTCCCTCTGGACACGCCGGTCTGTCACTGCCCCTCTTCATGAAGAGCAATGCCCAGAGCTGACCGTAGCCCCCAGGACAGGGAAAGGACCAATTAGGCTGTCCCCTCCCTGGCTGCAGACTCCCCCCTGCCATCGATGCTGCAGAATCACCTCCACGCTTTCTCTCCTGACTTCTCCAGGAGTTTCTCCACTCACGAGTATATGGCATGTATACTCTCCCCCACCACCGCCCCCATCCAGTGTGTCCTTAATGACCTGGAGTCCAACACACCCTCGTTATGACCCCAGAGTGGCAGAGCTGAAGATGTAAAACGGCGCTCAAGGCGGCCCCTTGGTGGTGCCATGCAGCAGGATCGCCATAAAGCTACAAAGGGACATCCTGCAGGTTGTTCTCTTAACAAAGATAACAAAGCCATGGGCTTGATGCTGAGCCAGGGCAGAGCTGGGTTAGCCCCTAACATTGAGAGCCAAATGTATGTCTCCCCGAGCCCTTTCATCAACCCAGCATCCTCGGGGACCAGTACACTTCCGTTTATCAAAGAAACTTTCTACGGTTCTTTTCTGTTTGACAGAAAATTTACAGCTTACCCAGAACTTCAAATTCCATAGTGGATTCTAGAATACAGTGCATATTTTTACATAAATAAAATAATACACTTGTCCCTACAATTTGACTGAAAAGTTACCTTCCATGAACGAATAGTAAACGCTTAAAAATATCTTTCCCTAGAAGAGACCTTGTAAAATTACAGTGTTTCTTTTACATGTGCACTGTGAGTCTGATAGCCTAGAAACTGCGGCATGTGGCAGAGTCGAAGCCCCCGCCCAGGGAAGCCTGCAAGGAAAAATGGGGCCACTGGTTTTCTCAGAGGCCGACGCAGTGTGTGCAATTAAATGGAGAGGGGCTGGGGAGGACGAATATTAATGCTGTGGATGAATGAGAAGCCCAGAGCTTCCCCGTGGCCGGGCCTCTGGGTGGCGGCCTTCCAGCCAACGTCCAAGCAGCCACTCAGGGCCTGGGCTCAGCTTCTGCAGGCGGAGGGAGTTCTGGCAGCTTCCTGAGACAGCGGAACCCCCAACTGCCTGAGGTTCCCTTGGGGACTTGAAAGGGCTTCATCTGCACTTGCCCATTCTCTTAGGAATCAGAAGCTCCGTTTCCTTGGAGGCAGACAACACAGTAACGTCCCAGGACTCCAGGACCAGCAAAAGGCAAGGTCAGAGACGGCACGGCCAGAGGACAAGGAGAAAGAAAGGGCTTCGGAGTCACACTAAGCTTGTTCCCTGCTTTAATCCCTCCTGGCTGTGTCATCCTGGCCAAGAAACTTAACCTCTCTGTGACTCAGTTTCCTTATTTGTAAACCAGGATATAACAGTGCCCGTCCCAGAGGGTTATCATTGGGAGAAAAGGAACAAACCTATAAAGCACTTAGTAAGTGCCCAGTACATGCCACCAGCCTTTAGCAGCATTGAGTCGCGAGATGCCAAAGGTGGCGGAACACTCAGAAATCGTCCAGCGCCATGGTTGTCAAACTGTGTTCCTTGATGGCCCTCGAAGGTGCCAAGAGGTGCCGGGGGCCACCCTGCAGGATGGGAGGGGGAGGCTGAGCTGGAGGATGATGCCCTCCTCTCCTGGCTCCTTCCCCACTTCAAATGGGGCCTCTCTATCTGATCTCTCTGATTTATAGTAGGGTCGCATCTTACAAGGAGGGTGTTATGGTTTGAGCTCAATGTTTAAGATTGAGATCTCAATAGAAGACGCCCTCAGACACCTCTTACAAGGCTCATAAAACACGTCGGCTCAGCTGCGTGTGTACAGCTCTGTATGACAGTTAAGTAGAAAGTCAGTGAATTTGATTAAAGGGAAGAAAAAAGAGAAGACTTCATGCACTTGCATGAACATTCCAACTGCTGTACGGTTTGCAAGCTGTGTGACCTTGGGCAAATTAATGAACGTCTCTGTTCCTTGATTTCTTCAAGGGGTTGCGGTAAGGATTAAATGAGTACACGTAAAAACAGTTCCTGTGCATAGTAAGCACCGAATATGGATTATTATTGTTTATTTAATTTAAAGAATGCTTAATATAGCACTTATTCTGTGCTGGGCGTTCTTCTAAGTACTTTGCTGACATCACCTTACTTAATCTTCACAACACTCCATGAAATAAGGAGTATAATTGTGTCCATTTTATGGTTGAAGAAACTGAGGCACAGACAGGTGGTGATTTGCCCAAATCAGTGAAATGACTTGCTCTAGGGTTGGAATATCAAGCTTCCACAACCTCAATCCATTTGTAGATAAGTTTGTCGTGGTGGAGATGAAATGAGACATACACAAAGGTGTCAGAATAAGACCAATTTCTCATCCACCAGAGAGTAAGGTTATAACAAGAGAAGCCGTGAGGTTGACAGCGGCTCTGGTCTAGCACCTGGTAGGGATTGGCCCTGGGCGGGACACTGTCCACCCATCACGTCATCAGTCCTCAAAACAGCCATCTCATGGGTTACATCCGACAAATATTTACTGAGCGAGCACGTCATGCTCCAGGACTCTTCCAGATGCCTGGAACAGTGGTGGGTAAGACAGATACGATCTTGCCCTCATGGGGCTTACATTCTTGTAAGAGAGACACAAATAAACAAATGAACAAGATAATATGGGGGGTAGATGCAGCATGAGCTGGGTGATAAGAGGGAAAGCAACTGTGAAGAGAGACTATAGACATGGCGGCCGAGGAGAGCCTCTTGGCATTGGTGACTTTGGAGTTGAGACCTGAAGGGTGAGGACTCAGAGATCTCAGGGAAGAGCACTCCACAGAAAGAAAGCAGATGCAAAGGTCCTGGGGTGCGAATGAGTCTAGTGTGACTGAGCAACATTAAGGGGCCAGTGGGACTGGAGGGGAGTCAGCGAGGGGAGAGAGGTAGGAGCCGACATCAGGGAGGTAGGCAGGGGTCAGGCCGTGCTGGGCCTTGTATGGGCCAATGGAAGCCTTCAGGCTAGTGTCTAAATATATGGCAAGTCATGGGCAGTTTTGCAGCAGGAGAAAACCGCAGTGAGGACACTCGCCGGGTTTAAGCGAGTTGCCCAAGCGCAGAGTAAGCACTGGGATCTGCTTCTAGCCCTTCAGAACCAGCATGGGGAGCCCAGGCACCCAGGCTCACCATGGACCACTCGAGGACCCCTAAGCCCCAAGAGGCTGCTGGGGCCTGCTGAGGACACTGGGCAGGGGGTGGGGTGCAGGCTGTGCCGTGAGCATTCCGGTCCCTCCTGGGGCCGGCGGCGCTGCCCGGGCAGGGTGGTACCAGCAGGGGCTGGAGGAAGGGGCAGCTGCCACACAAAGCCCTTGTTGAACAGAAATCCCAGCCGGCTGCCCGGGGCCGGGCCAGGCGCCAGGCGGGCCTCCAGCACGCTCGGCGGGCCTGCGGCCCAGCCCCCCACGGCTGCAGCCCGCCAACCCCACTGAGGAACCGGGCTTTGCCCACTCACCCTGAGCTCGGAGAAGCCACTAGGTGTGGGGTCAGCCCCTTCTGCCGTGCCCCTCAGGGTCAGGCTAGGTTCGTATCTCTCAGTAAATGGCACCACTTCCGCCTAGCTGCTCCTCCTCGATTCTGACTGCTCCTTTTCCCCAACATCCAATTATAATCACCAGCTCCACCGGGATACGTTCTAAGTTTTCCAGGTGAATCGACTCATTTAATAATTGTAACAACTCTACGAGATGGGCACCACTGTTGTTCCCATTTTACAGATGAGGAAACTGAGGCACACAGCTAAGAGGTGGAAGATCTGCGACTCCAGCCCAGATGGTCTGATTCCACAGCCCACGCTTTCTACTGCTGCATTGCATGGCCTCCTCAAGACCTGGGTAACGTGTCACTTCCTCCGGGAAGCCTTCCCTGATATATCCCCGGTAGGAGGCAGTAGGGAGAAGAGTCAGACAGAGGCGAGTTCAAATCCCAACTCTGCTACCTATGAGCTGTGTTACCCAGAATCAGTCCCTTAACCTTTCTGGCCCTTGGGGTTCCCAAAATGGAAATCAAAACTACCTTTGCTCATCTATCCTTTTGCTCCTTTTGAATTCTGTACCATCAGACGTGTTATTTATTGGAAAAAGGAATAAAATTAAAATCTATTTCATAAAAAAGAGTAGCTGTGTAGAGAACCTGAATGTGCCACCCAGACCCCCTCGGTGAGCTCCTCGCCCCAGGGCAGGGAGTAGGGCAGCAGATGACCTACACGGTCAGCCCCAGGGGCTGTCTCAGACCCTGGGGTCGTCTTGCCCAAGGTCGCACCCCTCCTGGGGCTCACACCCGCAGACTGATGGAGGGGCATACAAGGGCCCGGCATGCCACGTGGACCCACCAGAGTGTCTGCAGGCTGGCTCAGCTCGGCGCCCCCTGCAGAGGTGACAAAGGGCTCCACCCCTCCCTCTCCCTCTCCTGCTTCCTTCCTCCTCCTTCCGCAGGGGGTGACCTCAAGGGCACAACCTAATGACCCCCCATCGCTAATGCCCATCTCGGAGCGGCTTCCTGCAGCCAGACCTGCAGTCACCGTGGGGGAGGGTTAGAGAGAAGGCACAGCAGCTCACAGCACTTCCTATTTGCATTAGTTATTATCTTCTTCAGTTACTTCCAACAACCCCCCAGAGTACGGACTTCGATCCTCAATTCGCGGGTGAGAACACTGGTGCCCAGAGAGGCGAAGGAACCTGCCCGAAGGGCCCCAGCGAGCAGTGGTAGAGCTGGGTACTCGGATCCCCAAGCCTGGGCTTCTGAGCAGCGTCCACCTTGACAGGTGTCTTCACTGTAACACTATTTGAAACTTGAAAATTAAAATTGAATTAAAGAAGAAAGCCATCTGAGAAGTAATTTCCGGCTTCCTTCACCTAAGTTCAGATCGGTCCTTAATTGGCTGTGGTTTGCCTGCTGTGGCTCACACAGCGAGATGGAGCGGTGGCTGCGGCACAGCCTCATGAGCTTAGGCTCCAATCCCGGCTCTGCCATGTCCCGGCCACGCAAACACAGACAAGCTATCAGCCGCACGCTGCCTCAGTTTCCTCGTCTTCGACAGCGGCAGCACTTCCTTCCGTGGGGTTGAGGAAGATTCACGCGGTCAGCGTTGGCAGAACACTTCAAGCAGCGCCGGGCACTTGGGAATTCTAGAGAGAGAGCCAGGAGGATCCTGGACTCTGAAATCAGATCAACTGGAGTTCGAACCCCAGCCTCTAAGCAGACTGCAACTGTATGAGCTTAAGGGAGGTGTTTAATTTTTCCATGCCTCAGTTTTCCTATCTGTAAAACGGGGATAAAAATGTTACCTAGCCCCTAGGGTCAGCGTGAGGATTAAATGAGATATTCTGTTACCATACATGTCGGATGGACACTGAGGCTGCATGTCCTCTGAGCAGGGCTGGCCACAGTGCCCTTGCCCGACAACCCTGAGAGCCAGCGTCTCCTGAAATCCCACACTCTCAGTGGCCCCTCACTCACTCTAGCCCCAGCCCTGCCTTGGAGCTCACAGCGCCCTCGAATAACATTCATAATAACTCTAATTAGCTAATATTAATAATATCTAACATTTATATCACAGCATTAAGTGCATAGACACTAGAGCCACACTACCTGGATTCTAATCCTGAGTACACAGCTGTGTGACCTTGGGCAAGCTACTTTACCTCTCTGTGCCTCAGTTTTTTAATCTAGAGAGTAGAGATAACAATGGCATCTACCTCATAGGCTTGTTGGGAGGTTGAAAGGAGTTAATATATGTCAAGCACCTTGAACAGTCTTGGCACGGGGGAAGGACCCCATGGTGTTCCTCTGTGCCCACAAAACCCTCGAGTCGTGATACTATCAGGGATCGTGTTAGTGGTACGCTCACTGTGAGCTCCTCGGCCCCCTGCACGCTTACCTCACAGCCCTTGGCCATGGCGAAGCCCCCTCCCAGGAGCAGGATGATGTTCCAGGGCACGGTGTCCTGCGCCTTCCTCCACGTCAGCAAGGGCTCCGTCTCTGTGTTGGGAGCTGGGTGGAGAGAGGACATTCAGCCTGATGAGGGGACACCGTTCCCCACTGGACAGAAGGGGCCCTGACACCCACTCAGGACACTGAGCCTGAGGAGGAGACACCAGGCCTGCAGCCCACCTTGCTGGGGACACCCGGGGGTCTCCAGGAAGCCACAGTTTGGGTCTGGTGTCCGACTGGGGAGATTCAGGGGAAAACCCCCAAGCGGCATGAGGGGGCGCCTGCTCTTCCAGAATGAAAATAGTTTTCACGGCTCCCGTTCTTTACGGTGCCCTGGAACCAGGCCCTCCTCGTGCAGGGCATCCTCTGAATCTCACGCTGGCCTTCTGGGTAAGTGCTACTTTCATGCTGATTACAAGAGAAGAGGCTCTCTTTGTAATCGAATGTGTGCAGAGAGGAGAAAAGACGAAGCAGATTCAGGAGAACAGAAGCTCAGGGAGCCTTTGGCCCTGGGGTCACGGGATGATGCCTATTTCCCTAAAAGCAGCAGTGTGTGCGGTGGTTAGAAGAGGGGGTCTGCAAAGTTTCTGTAAAGGGTTAGAGGGAAAACCATCGAGGCTTTGTAAGCCAGTTGCAGCCAGGCTGCCATCATAACGTGAAGGCAGCCAGAGTCAGGATATGCACCAACGGGCGTGGCCACGTTCCCAGGAAACCCTCTTTATGAAGCAAGTGGCAGCAGATGTGGCCGGGGGCTGTGGTCCACCAGCCCTGCGTCAGGGACATGGTCCCGGAGACGGAGCGTCCTGGGCTGGCTCTCTGCGTGCCCTTGAAACGTGACCTTGCCACTCTGAGCCCCATTTCCTCAGCCGACACAAGGCACAATGACAGCACCCGAGGGTCCTTGTGAGCCATGACGAGGCCGTGGTGGAGCCACAGGGGGACAGGGACATTTCTGTTTGGCTCACAGCTGTATCCCCAGTGTCTAGAACACTGCTTGGCACCTGGCAGTCACTCCATAAATACCTGCCAAGTAACGTTTGTGACACACTTAACCCAGTGCCTGGTGCAGAGTAAACACTTCTGAAATGGAACTTGTCACTGCAGGCTGCCACCGGGAGGCGGGCAGGACAGGCCCAGCTCATTCAAGGCGGGTCCCCATCTCTCAGGACAGTTTCTGGTTACGCAACCACTGACATTTTATTTCTCCTTTCCAGCTTTTTCCAAATTTTACACTGTGCTTATCTAAAACAAAAGTTTACAGTCAGAAAATAAAGACAATAAAAGTTATTCAGTGGGGCTGGCCTGGTGGCGCAGCGGTTAAGTTCACACATTCCGCTTCGGCGGCCTGGGGTTCGCCAGTTCGGATCCCGACACGGCACCGCTTGGCACGCCACGCTGTGGTAGGCGTCCCACATATAAAGTAGAGGAAGATGGGCATGGATGTTAGCTCAGGGCCAGTCTTCCTCAGAAAAAAGAGGAGGATTGGTGGCAGATGTTAGCTCAGGTCTAATCTTCCTCACAAAATCAATCAATCAATCAATCAATCAGTTACTTAGTGACGTCCCTCCGCTAGCTGGCACGCAGCCGACAGGCATGTACACACGGTTCAGATGTTGCAAACAGCCTGGGGATTCCTGGGCCCAATGCAACCTACAGGGAAGCCCAGAACTGGAAGAGCCAGCGGGGGAGGGAGGGAGAGCCAGCCCTGCGCCTTCAGGTGATAAAATATGATTTCATTAAAGAGGCAGCAAGTCTGAAAAAGGAAAGTGACTTGACCCAAATAGCCCGTAAGGGTGGGACAGGGGGAGAGAAAAGGTCCCGAATGTGGGTTTAACATAATGCAGAAGAAGCGAGTTAAATGGCGAGTGCTTATAAGACTGCTCACCATCAGTAAGCACTCAGTCATTAACGTTAGCGGTTATCGTCTTTACTATCTTCCCATCCATCCACACCCTCGCCACTATTTCTTATAAGCACAGCCTCCATCTCCCTGAATTCCTCCAGTCCAGCTCCACTTTGCCCGCTGGCTATCTAGAGCCATGGCTGAAAGCACAGGTTTGAAGCTGAACTAGATTTGAATCCTGGCTCTGCCCATCAGCTATGCGACTTGGGCTAGTGACTCGACCTCTCTGAGCCTCAATGTCCTCATCTGAAAAAGGGAGCAATAGCACCTCCTCAGAGACCTATTGGGAAGATAAAATGGGCCCACGTGTGCAAAGGGCTCAGCACGGGTGTGGCCCAGAGCAAGTCCTCGGTCACTCATTTAACACATATGTATTGGGGACTTATCATATGTCAGGCACTCTTCTAGACGCTGGGGATACAGAAGTGGCCAAAACAGAGAAAATGGCTGCCTTCGGAGAACTTACATTCCCGCAAGGGAGGCAGGTGATACACCAATAAATATATAATGTCAGGAAATTTTATGTGCTACGAGGAAAAAGAAAACAGGGTAAAGAGAAGATGACAAAGCAGAGGTGCTTTTCTAGATGGTGCAGTCAGGGAAGGCTTCGCTGGGGAGGTGACCTTTGGATAGAGTCTGAGAGGGGGATGGAGCGAGCCATGTGGATATCTGGAGGAAGAGCTTGCTGGGCAGAGAGGAAGTGGATGCTATCACCATCACTGTCATTACATCAACCACAAGCGCAGGGCCGGCACACAGCAGCCGCTGCATCAACACTTGGTGAGTGACCACAAAGTGGGAGAAACACAAGTGCGACCCAGACCCACAGAGGAATGGAAGAGAGTGGGTCTAACAAGAAAACCAAGGTTGGCCTGGCGGCCTGCGTTCTACATCCTGGCTCTTCTTAACTAGTGGTGTGACCTTGAGCAAGTCACCGTCTCTCCAGGGAAACCACTCTCTGAGGCTCCAGATGAGCACTGAGTGCTGCGCACTAGAAAGGATGGTCTCAGCCACTTCCTTTCTCTCTGGCAATGCCCACTCCCTCTGGGTACCCACTTCCACAGCTTCCGTAGCTCGCTCTAAGGAAACAGAAGTTATAAAAAAGCGAGAAGTATAGTGAAGCAGAAGCTATAAAGACGCAACAGCTAAGAGGCAGTAGGAACTATGAAGAGACCAACAACTGATACACAGAGTGGATGGTGAGGAAAGCCAGTTAGAAGTAAGAGAGAGAAGCGGAAATGGAGCCTGCAGAGTCCAAAAGCCCTCAGCCTCCCTGATCCCAGGTCTAGCCTCCTCGAGGTCCAGCTCTGTCACACAGACTGACTATGGCGCCCTGAGGAATCATCCCCTACTGATCCTTACAAGGCACTCCCTGCCCCAGACCCCCACTCCTCCCAAACTGGACCAATCCTGCATAATAACCTATTGTTTTCAACAACAGAAAATAGATTACGACCCTATCTCCTGAGTCCTGGTCCAGTGTTCATCCCACCGCCCCTGCTGGAGCTCAGCCGGGGGCAGCCTGTCGCAGGCGGCAGATGGCAGCCCTTTCTTCTGGCAGACACCTGCTGGAAACCCCACGTGGCCACAGCGGCCCCCTGTAGGCCAGCCCTCAGTCGTCCGGCTTGGAGGGCTCCGTGATTCTTTTAAGCTGAATTTGAACGCCTTTCGGCAGTTTGGCCTCAGTCCCCACCACTTCCTGTTCCTTTAAACCCAGTTTGAGATTTTCGTGTCTGACTCGTGGGCAACCCACTTGCAACTCCTGCCTTGGGCCCGGGGGGCAGCAAAGTTTTCCTATAAAGCACCAGAACGTAAATATTTTGGGCTTTGCGAGCCAAAACCCAAGACAAAAAGAGGCATGGGGCCGGCTCCGTGGCCGAGTGGTTAAGTTCACGCGCTCCGCTGCAGCAGCCCAGGGTTCGGATCCTGGGCGCGGACATGGCACCCCTCATCAGGCCACGTTGAGGCGGCGTCCCACATCCCACAACTAGAAGGATCTGCAACTAAGATATACAACTGTGTACAGGGGGGGTTTGGTGAGATAAAGCAGAAAAAAAAAAAAAGGATTGGCAACAGTTGTTAGCCCAGGTGCCAATCCTTAAAAAAAAAAAGGAGGTAAAATCTAGGCTACTGTGGAGGTACTTACATACCTAAAGAAAATAAATGTCCACAAATTTCTCTTGAAGAAATTAAAAACTTTATTTATGGACACTGACGTTTAAATTTCATGTAATGTTCACAAGTCATGAAATATTTTACTTTTAATTCCTTTCAACCGTTAAAAAATGTGAAAGCCATTCATAGCTCATGGGCTGTCCATAAACAGACAGCTGGCTGGATTTGGGCCAGCGCACTGCAGTTGCTAACCCCTGCCTGGGACTGTCATCTCTGGCTCCCCTAAAGGCCCAGACAAGGTAAATGCTCAGGCAGGGGAAGAGGAGCAAGCAGGACCACGTGGTTGGTACATGGGGGCTGTCCGGTCCCAGGCGTGGGCCCCGCCTCCAGGCCACTGATTACCATGCTCCAGGACCTCGCTGAGTCCACCCACACCCCAGCCTTGACCGCCTTACCTTTAAAGTCAAACCACCACTTGAGAGATGGCCTTTGGGATGGGAAGAAGAACAAGATGATGACAATGGTCACACCGGTGACAGCATCCGAAAGAAACCTACAATGACAAGGCCCCAAAGCATGTGACCCCAGGCATCTCAGCAGGCTGGGGTTTGGCAGATTTGCAAATGAGGATTTGTGGAAGGGAATTAGGCCTGCTGTGAAGGGGGCATTGTTGGAGGCCACTGGATTCCTCCTGCACGCATTCAGCTTGGAGGCAACCACTCGTGGATGCAAAAGCCCTTTATCCCTTTATCCCCAGCTCCAGCTGAACCAACGCTTCTCCTCCTAATTCAAGGACACTAGGAAGGTGGACATGACCAAACAGGGAAGAATCTGAGAGCCACAGCATGCTGGGGTCTGTGTAACCCCCACAAATCATCATAACTGGGGCTCCTGAAAGAGCCCTATATGTATTTGTTCAGCTTCTGCTTGAATTCCTCCTGGCACGGGCAGCTTACTACACAAAGATGCAGCCCATTCACACCAGCAGTGTACAGATGGCGTTCACAGCCCCTCAAAACCCAACGACAACCTTTCAAGGGTCCACGACGTGTCCTGTGGAGACATGAAGCTCACAGAAGTCTCAGAAACAGCCCTGGGGGCAGGCTAAAAATCTTCCATTTCAGATGAGGAATCTGAGGCTCGGAGAACAGAAGCAACTTGCTGGAGGCCAGACCACGGTCCCTGGAGGAGATGGGCATCGAACCCAGATTTTCTGGCTCCAAGTTCAATGAAGCACACAGCCAACTGCCAACAAAAGCCCTTTCAGCCCATGCATTTGGGAAGAAGAGTATCTGATGGCCAAGAAACTGGAAAAGATGGTCCATGCCACTATATTCGAGAACTATAAACCAAAACATAATGCAGTGTCATTCGTCTGCTAACAGACAGCAAAACTTGAAAAGGGTGATAATACCTACTGAGGATGTCGGGAAACATATACGGGTGGTGGGAAAATAAAGTGGTTTAATCTTCTGGAGGGCAGCTGGCAGCAGGTTTCAATGCTTTGCATGTGAAAACCCCTTGATCCAGTTATCGTACTTCTAGGAATTTATGCTCAGGAAATAACTAGACTCCTGCACACAGATTACGTACTGGGATGTGCATTACCAGCAAGAGTAAAAAAAATGGAAGATTTTTAGCAGGCACATGCTTCAATAAATTGTGTATATAATGTATATATAATAATATATATAATAAAATACCCTACTTCTGTTTCTTAAAATATAAGATAATATCATCTTTATGTACTGACATACAAATACAACCAAGATACCCTGTAAATTAAAAAGCAAGTTTTTATTTGTAGTATTGGACACAATCCAAAAAGGACTTCGTTAAATGAAGATACTCCCATTCCATACAATACTATGCAGTGTTTAAAAAGAATGAAGGAGGTCAGAAAGAGCAAGTCGCCCATGATCACATTAAGTATTTTCCAATGTTTTGTTATCCGTGTACACAGATGTCTGTGTGCATGCGTTAATACGTGTGTGTGTCCGTGTATCTGGATTGTTACACAGCAGCCTGTTCATTGCGATCATCTCTGGGGAGTGGGACAGAGGGTCGATGAAGGGCAACTTTTACTTTTTCAATTCAGCATTGTTTGAATTTTCTCCTGAGTATGCATAACTTTTATAATTAAAAAAGAAAAAAGCAGGTCACCGATAACATGTGTACTGTAATCGGATTTCTGTTAAAAAATCTTCTGTTTAGCTAGGTTTCCTTTTAGCTAGTTGACATGTGTTTTTAAAATTCATTTCATTGAAGTATAATTAACATGCAACAGAATGCACCGGCTTTCAGGATTCGTTACATGAGTTTTGACTAATGCACACGGTCCTGCGACCACCAGTGCAATCGAGATGCAGAGAAGTTCCCGGATGGGCATTTTTTTAAGTCAGAAAAGATGTATATCAGAACTGGAGACTGAGATTCTAGGTTTCTTTGTGTTGCTGGAATGTTTATAACACCCATTTTTAGTCTGAAAAAATAGCAGAGCAGCTACATTTTGGAAAAATAAGAGAAGGGTGATAAGAGCTACTTCTCCTGGCTCCATGAAATTATATCGTTTCTCCCTCATGAGAGCAGAACTCATATCCCCCATTTATGAGAGGGAGTCTGGGGCTCGAGGGCGGAGCGTGCAGAGCTGCTCTATCCAGCCTGGCAGCCACAGCCACACATGGCCCGTGGACACAGGAACGGTGGCAAGACCAAACTGAGATGAGCTGTACGTGTACAGTACACACCAGACTTTGGAGACCTACTATGGAAAAAGGAACGTAAACATCTCAATAATAATTTATTATATAGGCTACGTGTTGAAATAATACAGTGTAAAATACAACAGATTATTAAAATTAATTTCATCCGTTTCATTGGACTTTTTAATGTGACTACTAACAAGTTTTAAACTACATATATGGCTCACATTCTGTCTCTGTTGGATGGTGCTGATCAAAACCATTAGATCTGCACAAATCCAGAGGACACATCGCCCTTCTCATCACGTTCTGACTCACACCAGAAGTTGACACAGCTGTCCACTGGCTCTTTCCTAAACCACTCCCCTCTCTCGGCCTTGGCTAGTCCGTGTCTCCAGGTCTTCCTCCCACCTCGCTGACCGCTTCTCCACCGCCCTGATGGCTCAGTCTCCTCCACCCAGCTCCCAGGTGTCAGGGTTCCTCAGAGTCTTCCACGCCATCCCTATACTTTCCCTACCTGAGCCCATCCATTCCCGGCGATTTAAATCCCAAATTTATATCATGACCCCCCAATTTATATCTGCAACCTGACACCTCTGAGCTCCAGGCTGGCATATCCAAGTGTCCACTGCAGTATTTGAAAGACATCTTAGACTTGCTAAGTCTAAACCCAGTCCAAAATACAATTGTTGACGAGCCACCCCAATCCCCCCAAAGAATGTTCTTCTCCAACTAACCACCATCTATGCAGGTGCTCCTCTCCTCGTGCCCCCAATCCAACCCAGCAGCATGTCCCATCGTTTCTAACTTTGATTATATCTTGACTGCTCCATCTCCGCTGCTATCATTTTCACTCAAACCCTTGAGGTCGGCCCCCTAGACGAGGGCTCAGTGCACGTCTTCTGGGAAGAGCCACACAGTAAATTTTGGCTTGCAGACCCTATGGTCTCTGTCACAACTTGACTTGGACGTCGTAGCATGAAAGCAGTCACAGAGAACAAATAAACGAACAGGTGTGGCTGTGTTCCGATAAAACTTTATTTGTAGACACAGAAATTTGAATTTCATGTAATTTTCATGTGTCACAAAATATTACTTGTCTTTTGATTTTTCTCCAGCCATTTAAAAATGTAAAAGCGATTCAGAAACAACCACTGGGCCAGCTTTGGCCCATGAGCCTTAGTTCTCCAACCCCTGTTCTGGATGACAGGAGTCATCTAGACGGCTCTCTTCTGTTCTCCCCACCCAGATTTTTGCCCCCACTATCCGTTCCCTCACCAATATAGCTGACATTTTACTGACTCCTTTCTGTGTGCCATTCGAGTCACTTGACATACAGCACCTGATTTATCGTCAGAACAATGCACTGAGTATACTATTACGATACCATTTGGCAGATGAGGAAACTGAGGCACAGGGAGGTGAAGTAACTTAAAACCCTCCAATAGTTTCCCACTGCTCTGCCAAAAAAAAAAAAAAAAAAGACCAAAATGCTCAATATGTCCGACAGAACCCTCCACGATCCAGCCCTCACTGCCCTTCCAGCCACTCCTGCCCCCCTGCCCCGCTCACCCAGCCTCGGTCACACCAGGCCTCTTCGGTTCTGCAAAGGTGTTCAGTGGGCTCCCAGCTTAGGCTCTCAGTAGACGGGCCCAGGGCATCTCCACCTTTCACCTCTACTCTTCCTAACCTTTGCTTTTCCCAAAACTATCCACAGTCAATGCCCCGACTCCGTCCTTCTATAGTCTAACCTTCTCGCTCTTTCTTCCACAGCACTCATGACGATTTGCAGTACTTTCTTGTCTAACTACTTGTTCTTGCTGTGTGCCCCGCACCTCGCTTAATGCCTAGCATGTAACAGACTCTCAATAAACGTTGACTGACTGACTGACTGACTGAATGAATGAATGATGTGTTCAGGGTCGCACAGTTTGTAAGCGGCAGAGCTGGCATCTGAACCCAGTTTTGTCTGATTCCAAAGGCAAAAGCTCTTAACACACGAGAACCCAAATGTTTTATGGTCCAAACCTAAACTCTTGAGAGTAAAAGGAGCTGTAAATAGTTAGACGGGACAAAAAGCACAAACCCAGCCCAGGACTCCCCAGCGGCACTGCGCTCCCCACCGCACTCTCCAGCTCCAGGGGGCCCATCCCGGAACCTGCCCTGTTGGACTCCATCCCACGGGTCCCCAGAGTCTCACCCAGGGGTGAAGAGGCTGGCCCAGCCGGGGATGAACTTTGGGTCCCGGGAGAAGAGGAGGATGGCGAACATGCAGAAAAGGATGAAAACAGCCTGTTCCGCGAACCTGTGGCACAGACATGCAGGCCCCAATGTGACCATAGGCTCCCCGTGGACCTCAGCAGGGAAGGCCTCGGCAGGCGCCCACTGGGGGTGGCTGGACCAGCCCTGCCTCGGAGGAGCTGAAAGCAGTAATTCACTCCCCAGAAAGTCCCCAGAGTGAGGGTGGGGGGTCTCATGGTGTAAGTGATCCTGCCCTGGGCTCCCACACTCCCCCAAACTATTTCTATCATTCCCACCAGGAACTTCACTGGGTCCTAAGGCGAATCCAGAGAGAGAAAAAAGGAGCAAAACAGAGGCAGAGTCAGAAAAGCACAGAGAAAGGAAACGGACAGCCAGACAGAAATCGAGGGGTGGGCAAAGAGAAAGAGGAACAGTCACACATACAGAGGGGGACAGATAAACATAGATGCAGAAGGGGACGGACATGGAGAGAGGGGTAGACAGAGGTAGAACGAGAGAATCCCCAAATATTGGAGCAAATATTTACCCAATGAGCCCACTTCACAGATTGGGGAGTAGGGCCCAGAGAGGGTTAGTGCTTTGCCTAAGGCCACGCAGGAAGTTAGTGGCAGAGTCATTCCTTGTGTGTAGGCCTGCTGACTCCTAGTTATTTTCTCCACATGAGAAACATGCATTAAACAAGGTCCTGGAAGCCACCCAAGGCAGTGTCGGGTATCCGTGGACCAGGAGGGAAAGGGTGCATCAGGCAGGAAGGTGGCAGGTCCGCACCCCGAGTACACCCTATGGGGCATTCTGGTCCTCAGGGTATCTACCCCAGCACCAGGGCAAGAGGCTGACTGTGTAAGCTAGCTCCCTACCTTCCATCCCCAGGCCACAGGTCCTGAAATTCCCCTGGGAATCCACCCCCGGGGACCCAGGGGTCAGGCCTGGAGGCACCTCTCCTGAAAGTCTAGTGCCCAGCTCTCTCCCTGCCCCGAGGATCCCCCGAGCCACGCACTTGATGGGCCCCAGGTTCTGGAATTCCTCCCGAATCACAGCTTCAGCCCTATCTTCTGCATCAGTGCTGATCTCAGATTTCTTCTTCCTCCAGCCCCTGAAACAGAAAGTGAGCAGGTTAGGAGTGGCCACTGCAGGTACAGCTAACTTCTCACTGGTCCCACCCTCTGGCCGGGCCGCATTACCTCTGCAACAGCCTGCTGAGTGGGCTCCCTGCCTCTGTCTTCCCCTTCTGAAACCTGTTCTCCCCACCTACAGCCTGGATGGTCTTTTAAAAATGTGAATCTGATCACATGACTCCCAGAAAGAAAATCCTTTCAGGGGTCAAACAGGCACATGAACAAACCAACAAATCGATGGAATAAAATAGAAAGTCCAGAAACAACCCAAGCATACATGGAGATCTCATCTACGATAAAGTCGGTTTCTCATATTGGTGCAGAAAAGATGAGCTATTCAGTCAATGGTGTTGATCAACGAAATAGGATTGAGAGTCCAAAACAAACCCATACTTTTATGGTCAATTGATTTTTGACAAGGGTACCAAGATCATTCAATGGGGAAAGAATAGTCTTTCAACAAACAATGCTAGTCACATGGAAAAGAATGAATGTGGACTCCTACCTCACACCATATACAAAATTTAACTCAAAATGGATCAAAGACCTAAATCAAAGCTGGACTTATAAAAATCTTAGAAGAAAACATAGGGGTAAATTTTCAGGGCCTTGGATTAGGCAATTATTTCTTAGATATAACACCAAAAGCTCAAGCAACTGAAAATAGAGAAACTGGACTTGATCAAAATTTAAAACTTTTGTGTGTCAATAAATAGAGTTGGGACAACCGAGTGGCCATCTGGAACAAAAAATGAAGTTGGATCCAAACCTCACACTGCACCCTGAGGATAATCTCCAAATTGATCAAAGATTTAAATGTAAAAAATATAAAAATACAAGAAGAAAACATGGGATCATTCTTTTATAACTCCTGTAATGGGGAAATCTTTCTAAATGAAATTGAAAATTCAGAAGTCATATGAGAAAAGACTGATAAATTAATCTACATAAAAAAAATTTCTAAAACATTCTTCCTGGAAGAAAGCACCATATGCAAATTAAAAAACACATCAGGAAAAATATTTGCACCTCATGTTGCAGAATAAGCACTAATCTTTCAATATATAAAGAGTCCTAGAAATCAATAAGACCAAGACCAACAATCCATTTGAAAAATATACAAAGGATATAAGCAGACCATTTAACAATTCACAGGAAAGAAACTACCAATGGCCCCCACGTATATAGAAAACTTTCCATATTGCCCCTCAATATGAAAAGTTGCTCAAAATTACTCAATAAAATACATGCAAATTACTCTTCTCTTATCACATTGGCAAAAATCCACTTGGCTGCATGGAAGCAGGCACTCTCATACTTATAAGTGGGAGAACAAATTACTGCCGTTCCCAAGGAGAACAACTTGACGGTATCTATTAAAATAAAAATGTGTTTATTCTCTGACCCAGAAATCCCACCAATGGAAATTTATCCTACAAAAATGGCATCTGTCACGGAGATCAGTCATCAGAAACATATTGTATTTGCTTGTATTTGCTCAAGGACACTCTGGAAGGTTACCCACGAAGCCACTAAGTGTGGATACCTGTTTAGGGGGAGATAGCGGGCGAACGAGGAAATGAAGCCTTGATTGAGAAGAAGAACTCTCACGCCATACTTCTTCATATTGTTTTGATTTTTGAACAATGTATGTGCAGCTTATCCAAATTAAATTTAAAAATAAATAAATATATATTTCAAAGCCCCACAACGGCTGTGTGTGTGAAGATCACACCCTCACAAGGCCCTCAGTGAGCTAGCCCAGGTTTCTCAACCTTGGAACTCTTGACATACTGGGGAGGATCATTCTTTGTTGTCGGGGGCTGTCCTGTGTATTGTAGAATTCAGCAGCATCCCTGGCCTCTACCCGCTCCATGCCAAGTAGTACTTCCTCAGTTGTGGCCACCAAAATGTCCAAGATGTTGCCAATGTCCCCTGGTGGAGGGGTGGGCAAAATCATATGAAAACTCCTGCCTCCTTTCCTGGCCTCATCTCCCACAAATTTCCCATACACCCTGAACTCGGCCGCTTTAACCTTTATTTAGTTCCAGAACATCCCTTGCTACCTCTGGCCTCAGGGCCTTTGCACTCACTGTTCTCTCTGCCTAGAATGCTCTTCTTCATCTCCATCTCTTTCCTTCCTTTTACTGAGTTACGTCTACTTCTTCTTCATATCTCAGTTCAAAAGTCACTTCCCCAAGGAAGCTCTCCTGACCTCCCGGGTAGGTGAGAGCTGTCCAGTGCACACCCTCATGTCTCACTGTTCTTCTCCTTCGCATCACAGCACTTTCACGACTGCTATTCCTGGGGTGCTTGACTGTTCACTGTCTGTCTCCGCCACCTAGAGTGCAAGCTCCCCAAGGGCAGGCACGTACTCTGCCTTACCCACCTGCTGCATCCTCAACACCCCTATCAGCGTCAGACACATCGTGGGTGCTCAGTGGCTATCTGCTGAGCGAAGATGGTGCCATGGGATTGGCCTGAACCTTTTCTGTCACCCACGCAGAAACCCCCCTCTCGCTGGGCTCCCCGCCCTTGCATGTCCTCTCTCATAGCCTCCTCTGAGGCCAAGTCCTGCAAAGTCCTCCTCAAACCCACAGACAGGAAAAGGGGCCCCTGTTCAGGCTCAGTACTAGGCAGTTCACACACTCGCCCGCATTTAGTTTTTAGCAGTGGCTCATTTTTATCCCCAATCTACAAGAGAAGAAATTAAAAGCTCAGGGAGGTTACAGAGTTGCTCAAGATCAGAGAGTCCAAACCACGATTTGAACTCCGGTCCATCTGAGTCCAAAGTCTGGGCTTGCTGCTCTAGGCCAAGCCGAGCTTCGAACCCTGAATTTCTGCTACAAGGAGTCCTGGAAGGCGTTCGAGCCAAGGACCACCACCACCAGAGCCTTTCAGTTTTCAAAGCATTTTCCCATCTCTTTGATCCAGAGTAGCTTCTACTGGACCCATTTTACAGACGAGCAAATTCAAACCCAGGGAGGTGAGGGGACCGGGTCAGAGAGAGACTTTATGACATGCCTGCCACCCCCACCCTGAGCCGCAGCTCCTAATTTAGGATTTCCCAAACTCCAGGCATTCACAACCCACTTCACAAATCTTCCTATAGCCACACACCACCTGGCTCATATTTGCCTACTATTTTCTCCAAAGAGGCTCAGCATTTTAAATAAAGAAACGTACTTAAATAGAAAATTTTACATTCCTCCTGTAAATGGAAAACAAGGACCGCTTCTCATAAACAGAAAGTAACCACAAAAATAAACACATGAAAGCACAGCAACGTATTCTGGCTAGATTCCATCGCTGGCTTAAGTCTCTGGAAATGAGGCTTGCTCTTTCTTTGTTTAAAAGGCTGATCTGGAGACGTGAGAGAGGTGTCACGTCTTCTCCAGCACCCTGCTGAGACCTTCTCTCCAACGAAGCAGATCGATTCTACAAGAGCTGAGAGAAGGAGCATTTTTCTCACTGTATGATTCAATGTTGTCTTATACCTTGTCCTCACGCCACTCCAAATTATCTCCTTGACCAGGGCCCCGTAAAACGGGAGACACGGCTCTCCCCTCCCCTTTGGAAGGAGTGTTTACCTTCTTAAAGAACGATACTATCAGTGATTATGGATGATGGGTGACATTGACCGAGGGCCCGGGCGTGGCAGGCAGGTCACACACCACCCTATCCTCCCATCCCCGGGAGGTGAGGTCTGCTACAGTCACCACATGAGAAGATGGCACGACATCCTAACGACAATCCTCCTCAGGAGGAGACCAAGTCTGAGGAAGGCCATCCTCCGGGGGAAGGAAGCCGGGACTCCAGTGCAGCTGGGTTGGGCTCAAAGCTCAAGGGAAACACAAGCGGTACCTCAGGGTCATTCCCCCATAGAGGAAGGAGATCCAGAGCCAGCCCACCAACAGGAACAGCAGCATGAGAGGGAAGGCGAAAATGAACCAGGAGCCGAAGTTCACCACGTCGCACTGCGGGAAGAAGCTGGAGAAAAGAGGGAGGTGAGAGCCACGCAAGGTCAGCCATGCTAGGTGCGTGCGTGCGTGCGTGCGTGCGTGCGTGTGTGTGTGTTTACATGGAGAACCAGAAGAAATATGTTAAATATTAACAGTGGGATTGAACGTATTTCAAATTTTTAATTTTTTTCTCTATTTTCTGAGTGTTCTAGTATGTGTCTATTTCATGTCTAATCAGAACAAATTAATAAAATGTATTTGGGAGCAAAGGCCAAGGAGAACACTCAGCAGCCATTTCCCGGTGTCCCCAGGCTCCCAGCTGGGGAATCACAACCCCATATTATCTGGCATTCCTTCTAAGTCCCCTCCGTCCAGACCAGAAGGTCCAAGCTTGTGCAATCAAATGTTGCATATGATTTGCATGTAATTTGCATGCAATTGACTCAAAATCTTTCATGGTTGATATTTTTACTTACAGCTCCAGCATTTTTTCCCTAATTCCTTTTCAAGTTGGAACAAAGTCCTGCTCACGTCTGGGTGGGCAGGCAGCCTGAAAACCCTCTGATAGCAACCGCCCCTCGCCCATTACCCCCATCCCCCAATCAGGACCTGCCCCTGAGGCCCCCGGAGCCCGCCTCTTTCTTGTTCAGCCCTGGGGATGTGCTCCAGGAAGTCCTGATACCAGACACCCTGCTTCGTCCCCCCAACAGACTGTCCCTGTGCTTGCACTTCCTTCTAACTGAGGAGACCAAAGGGTCAAGCCCAGATCGCCCCCACATCTGAAGCAGGACCATCTCGACTTCTGGTTTTCTGTCGCTAACCAGAAAACACGAAGCACAGCCAGGCCTTGCTCAAAAAATGGAGATGAAAAGACACCAAAGGTTTGCAGTGGCCTTAAACCAATTGGGAAAGTACTGATGCCTGGCCCCCATCGCATACCTGCTGAATCGGAATTTCTGCAAGTGAGACCCAGGCATATGTTTTTCCCCTTCCCTGATGACTCTAATATGCACCCATGGCTGAGAATCACTGGTTTCTATCATCAAAGCTTAAAAATCAAAGGATTTTAGAACCTGAGAAGGTAGTGGAGGGTTAAGGCTTTAAAATTGGCTCACGAGGCAAAATATGGGTGTACTTAAAATTTCTCATGAAAATAACTTTGATTAGCCACAAGTACAGTCTTCATGTGTGTGTACCAAAGCCTGGCTCAGGAAAACCAGCACCGGCGTCCCCTCCTTCCTCCTAATAGGCCCTGATTCTTCGGTGGAACAGCAGGGAAAGAAGTTGGCCGGCCCTTGGGGCCACGCTGAGCATCAGATGATTCTCGTGTTGTTCGTTTGCCAAATGCTGACACCTGCATTCGTGGGGACTAAATGAACACAGGACACATCTCCACTGCAACGGAATCTTACAAACCTCGCCTCTCAGGGTTCTGGAATCTGAACATCTTAGAAACTGAATCTTGAAATACTGGGATATTTTTTAAATCTTCGAACTAAGTGGTTTGGCATAATGCACTTGACAAGTCGTGCTGTCTGAGAATCCTCGTTTATCCTCGCGTCCTGACATCTCCTGTTGGAACAGGTTTAGGGATGGGGAGACTTTACCTCCTGGCAGAGTCTACTCCACTGCCGGCCAGCGTGCATGGTGCAAAGCTTCTCACGGGGCCTTAGAGCCACGGATCAACGCCTCCGGGTGGGGTTAGTTTTTAAAGCAGATGTCACTCCTCTGCTCCCAGCTTCTCACCGACTCCCCATCTCTCTTGAAGGACAAGCTGGGGCCCTTATGATGGTGGCCTTAGTCCAGCCTCTTGTTACCCTATCTCTTCTCATGCTCACCTTTGCCTTCCGCACTCCAGCCTCTCTGGTCTTTGTGCCGTTCCCTGAACACCCCTGGGACTGTTCCCACCTTTGTCCAGGCTATTCCCTCTGTCTGGAATGCTCTTCCTCCTGGGTCCACATGGCTCACTCCTTCACTGCTAGGTCTCTGCTCAAATGTCACCTTGTTAGAGAGGTCGTACATTCCTGACCCACCTACATAACACAGCACCCACTCCTGTCCCCTCTACTCCCTTATTCTGATTTTATCTCATAACTTATCACACCGACATTATATATTCATTTGCTTTTCCTTTATTGCTTGTCTTCCCACTACAATGGAAGTCCCCCAAGGCAGGGATTTTGCTGGGTCCCCAGAGCCTGGCTGACAGAAGGCATTCCATGCTCATTCCCTGAACATTGGATGAGGGAGGAGGAGAGGAGGGGAGCAGAGACTCCAGTGCCGGGGGTGGGGGGGGAGCACTTGTTTTTACCTCTTGAGCTGGCCAAGCAGGATGAGGTTAGGGGCGGTGCCCGTGAGGGTGGCGGTGCCCCCGATGCTGGCCGAGTAGGGGATGGAGATGAGGAAGCCCTTCCAGATGTTTCTGCGATAGTCCTCCTCCTTCTTGGAGTCGGCCAGAAGATCCAGTGGGGCCTCGGCCTCCTCGGGGCAGTCCTTGCTTTAAACAAACCCGAAGAGACGCCATTCAGAACACACTCAGCATCTCTGGTCTCAGGGGGATACTCACTGCTGGGGCGGGAAAGCTAAGAGGTCTTTCTAGAAGGGAATTTGGCAGAGGCATCAAAAACCTCTAAAACTGTGCAACCCTGCAGCTGAAGTACTTTACTCCAAGATCTTATCCTGAACAAATAACTGGGCAGTGCCTCAGGGGCAGGCCCAAGCGACTTCACAGTATTAAATATAATTTAAATGGAAAACAACCCACATCTCCATCAAAAAGGCATTAGCTAAACACAGATGACCCTCTTTCTGGAAGAAACACCAAAGCAGCTATTAAAAATGACGATTTAGATGGGTGTTTATTAAAATGAAAGATGTCCATCATATAAAGGGAAAAGGTAAGTAACAGCATTACTTCATTTTTTTCATTTTAAAAATATTCACATATTTCATGAATATATGAATATTAAGAAAAGTCTAGAATGGTACAAGCAGAGTTTTTTTGGTGCCTTTCTCGGGAGTAGAATTCGATTTTTTTTCTCTTTTACTCTTTATGTATATTTTCTGGCTTGTTTTCCTTGTACAGAGTTTGAGAAAATTAAATTAAGAACTGTTAATTATATACTCAAAAGATAATGATGTTGACACAAATTTATTGAGGTGAAATGATGTTTACTACACTCCATTAAGTGTAGGAGCAGGTTACAAAAAACATATATAACATTACCAATTTTTTTAATTTAACATATGCATTTATGTATATAGAGAATATGAAGAAATAATCTAGAATGAGATTCACTTAACGGTTTTAATCGATCTCTGTGAGATCTCAGAGATCTGTGATCTCTGAGTGAGATGTGGAGTACATTTTTCTTTTTGTTGAAGAGTATTTTTTTTGACTTGCGCGATTATGAAATGTTTATACAAGTAAATGAAATTAAGAATTGCTCCTGTGCAACAAATCAATTTTTTAAAAAAATGAAACATACTTTAAATACCTTCTGGCTTTAATTACTACATGAGAGGCCCCTTCTCCAGATGGCAACGAAGACATGATCTGAGGTCTGAAAGGAAGACAAGGACTGGGAGTAGCTGGAGACCGATGTCACGGCCTGACTTCCAGGCTGAGAGGCCTGGTCAGGAACTGCGGCCTCCCTCAGACCTGGGGACCCAACCAGACTGAGCCTCACAGTGAAAATGAGGAGCAGAGAAGGCCCTAGGGCTCATGTAGTGCAGCCCCTTCTTTGTTTGGATGGGGAAACTGAGGCCCAGAGAGGGGATGGGGCTTGCAGCCAATGGACACAGAGTCCCAGAGGGTGGGGATCGGATCAGGTCTTTTCCAATGGACTCAACACAAGCTTTTCAGGGGCAGCTGGTCAAAACAGATTCCCAGGTTGCATGGGAGTAAGTGCTAGGCCAATCACAGAATCCATATCTCAAAGCTGGACTCAAAGCCCCAGATACAGTGCCAGGAAGGAGCACAGGCCATGGGGTAAGACTCAAACATAAGATCACACCCCTCCTCTGCTAATCCCCCCATCAGCCCCCATCTCATTCAAAGCCAAGCTTACATCAGCGGCCTGTGAGGTCCCACAGCCTGTGGCCCTCCACCACCACACTCTCGCCACCCAGGCAATCTCCCTGACACCGCCTCCTACCATCCACTCACCCACCTCCGGCCACACTGGCTTCCTGTCTGCTTTGGACTCTCAGGACCTTTGCACCTGCTAGTGCCTCTGCTGAGAACGCTCTTCCCACAGATCCCCCACGACCCCCCACCCCTCCTCCAGGTGTTTGCTCAAGCATGACCTTCTTAGAGAGGTCTTCGCTAACCACCTATCTTAAAACTGCCCTTCCCCTCCCCCAGCCCTCCTGCCTAGCCCTCTTTCCTGTTTTGTTCTCCCACACAGCACTCACCAACCATCTGAATACTATGGATTTTACTCACATATCTGCTTCTTATCCCTGGGATGTAAGCTTTACAGGGCTGGGCTTTTGTCTGTTCATTGCTGTATTCCTAGCGGTGCCTGGCTCGTCACAAGCTCTCTATAAATATTTGTTGAATGAATGAAACAGACCTGATCAATGCCCAGCATGCCTTGAGCAAGTCACTTTACTTCCTGCTGTTCCATCGCCATTGAATCAAGACAATAATGACATTAACAACAAGCGCTACCATCTGTGCCTGCAAGGCCTAGCAACCTGATCGACATTATCTCACTTAATCGACATTATCTCATTTAACCCAAAACAACCCTATAAGGTGGGTTCCAATATCATGTCCAGTTGGTAGCTGAAACTAAACCGAGGCTCAGAGAGGTTATGTGACTTGTCGGAATCATACAGCCAGTAAGTGGCAGAGCCAGGGTTCAAAGCCAGGTCTGTGTGGCTCCAAACCTCAGAATCTTAACCACGCTGCCGTATACAAAGGACGCCAAAGACCGAATGTGCCGCCGAGGTGAAGACGCTTCCTAAGTCACACAAGTGCAAAGGATCGTGAGGGGCTCATAGGACGCTTGTCCTTAGAGCCTCTTGACCCTGTCCGCTTGCCTCTCCTCCTTGACCGCAGTGTGGTTTGTGCCCTTCTGCCCTCTCCTGCAGAGCCTCCTCCTCACCACAACTCCGGGGATTTCACGAGCTCCCCTGCCCCATCCACATTTGCATTTTTTAAGGAGGCTGTGGAGGTCTGCCTAAGCCGAAAGGATGGATGGTGGAAACTCGAACGTTAGGCCATTTGGAGAAAAATCTGGGGAGGGGAGGGGATTGCTTGCAGCATTGAATTCTGGTCCATCATCTCCTTGGATCAAGCACTGGCTCCTCTATGCATGTCACCAGGAACTCACTCTTCTGTGCTGGCAAGAAACTGCATCTCCGTGGGCACCGTGTGCAGGCCGTTTCTCCGCACAGCAGCTGGGAGGAGAGAGCATGACGGCTTTAGTGTAAGGTAACAAATGGGACAGGCGTGTTCTTCCTCAATCAGGAGACATTCTTCAGGTTCCCCTCCTAGACTAGTCGTTGAATTGAAAAAAAAAAAAAAAGGTAGTCAAAATTCCATCCTTCTGTCCCACCCATCCACATTTGGAGATGACCCTAGGCCTGTGGGCAGGGAGCTGGCTGCCAGGTTGCTGGACAACCCATAACTCAAGCCTAGGCTTACCTAAGCTGCCATTGTCAAAGGGATGTTTGGGAAAGACTAGCTAAGAGTAGGAATGGATCAGCAAGGGGATGGGTGACCCCAATCTCCCATTCATTCATTGAAAAAGTATTTATTGGGCATCTTCTATGTGCTATTGACTATGAGTTTGGGGTACACCATGAATAATATAAACAAGGTCCCTGCTGCCATGAAAGTTATATTCTGTAAGGGGAGACAGACAATAATTGAATAAAGGAAATTTCAGGCAGTGGTGAAAGTGATGGAGGAGATAAAACTGGGCAATGTGATGGAAAGTGATTGCAGAGTGGGGATGGGAGCAAGTGGTCTACTGTGATCAGGTCAACCGAGAAGACAAATGAGCTGATGGCATTTGATCTGAGACCTCAAGGATCATAGGAAGAGCTGTAGGAAGAGGGTTTAGGGCAACAGGAGCAGCAAGTGCAAAGGCCCTGAGGTGAGAGTGCGTCTGGTATGTCGGGAAGCAGGAGGGAGACCAGTGGGGCTGGAGGGGCCTGAGGGAGGGGAGAGTAGCAGGAGGTGAGGTGAGAGAAGGGCAGGAAGTGGGCTGGGTCATGCGGGGGTCTTAGGGCTCACGGTAAGGACTTTGGCTTCTCTTCTGAGTCAGATGGGAGCAGGGCCAGGGGTGTGTTTGAGCAGAGGAGAGTCAGGACAGGATCTGACTTCCTTTTAAAAGTATCCTTTGCTTGATGGGTCAGTCTCTCCAGGAGCCTCCAATAATGTTCTGGAGACAAGAAAAATGGAAGAGATTAACAGTTCCTGCAGCTGAAACCATCACCAAGGGCACAAGAACCCGGCCCTGGACATTGGGCGCGTGCCTGGTAGCTGAACACATGGGTTCTGGGTTCGAATCATGGCTCCATCACTTACTACATGACCTTAGATCCGTGGTTCCCGACTAGGGCTGATTCTGCCTCCGAGAGACATTGCACAATATCTGGAGACGTTTTTGGTTGTCACAACTGGCGATGGGGGGGTGCTACTGGCATCTAGTGGGCAGAGGTCAAGGATGCCGCTAAACCTCCTACAATGCTCCCACAACAAAGAATTATCCTACTCGAAATGTCAATAGTGCTGAAGTTGAGAAACCCCGGTTTAGATAAGCCCCTTTATCTCCCCGTACCTCAGTTACTTAATTCACAAAATAGAAATAATAACTCTCCCAGGGTTGTCAAGAGGATTAGAGTTGATCCACTTGCACCAGACTGAATATTTTCATCCCCAAAACTTACACGTGGAAACCTAAGCCCCAGTGTGATGGTATTAGGAGGTGGGGCTCTGGGAGGTGATGGGGTCACGAGGGCAGAGCCCTCAAGACGGGATCTGTGCCCTCAGAAAAGACACCCCAGAGAGCTCCCTTGCCCCTTCCACCGCATGAGGACACAGCGAGAAAATGGCCACCTACGAACCAGGAAACTGGCCCTCTCCAGCCACCAAATCTGCCAGCATCTTGATCTTGGACTTCCCAGCCTCCAGAAGTGGGAGAAACAAATACCCGGTCTCTAGTGTTTTTGTCATAGCAGCCTGGAAAAGACTCAGACACTGTTTAAAGCAGGGATGGGCCAACTTCTTCCGTAAAAGGCCAGACAGCAGGTATTTCAGCCTTCAGAGGCCACACGGTCTCTGTCGTGAACCAGTCAGCTCTGCCATGACAGCACGAGAGCAGCCCTGGGCAAGACGGAAAGGAATAAGTGTGGCTAAACCTTTATTTCTGGACAGGGAAATGTCAATTTCACATAATTTTCACATGTCCCAAAATATTCTTCTTTTGATTTATTTCAACCATTTCAAAATATAAAAACCATTCTTAACTCACAGGCTGCACGAAACATAGGTGGCGGGCTAGACGCGGTAGGCTGAAGTTTGTCAGCCCCTGATTTAAAGAATTTAACAGGAATTCCTAGTGAGAATTTAGTAAATGAGGGTTACTCTTAAGACAGATTAAAAAAGAAGGCCCTGACCTCTGAAATTGGTCTGACCCAGATACACCATGTTGTCCTCCTGTTGGACCCAAACAACCTTCACATCGCTGACCTCAGACAAAGTCACTCTGAAGTGACAGACGATCAAAGCAAGGCCACTGCACAGGCTTGTCCCAGCTCAAAGCTCAGCACCCACCAAATACCAAGCACGCCCTCTCGCTAAACCAACAGCTGCTGCTTCTCCACCAAGGATAGAGTTGCTCCTGATTTCTGACCACACCCAATCTAGAGCAAATCCTGCTTCTTTAGACCGTCCCCCCAAAACGCCCCAACCAAAGCCCCAATCCTATGAAGGTCCTTTCTGACACCCTCTTCCTGAGGCGGTCAAGGCTGCCCACGCTGTGTGCTCTCCCACACTGCGGCAGCAATCATAAACTCAACCTGTTGAACTCCAGATGTGTTCCTGGGATCTTTGGCCTCGTGCACTGGGAGGAAAGGTCTTGACTTCAGCCTCGGCTCTTTCCTTACCTCATGCAGGGGCTTGGGGAAGCCCCTTCCCCTCTCCACTCTGGGCTGCTTCTTCCCTGTTGGTACCATGAGGGAGCAGGAAGCCATGGTGGCGGACTGTGTCATTTTTACTGAGCCTGAGGGTGGCCCTGCTGACCATGCACCAGCCAGGGCCTGAGGGTATATGCAGATCAGCTCACCCTGGGCCACGGGGACGAGGGCCTCAGGGCTCCTGTGACGGGAACACATGTCCATATGCAATGCCCGGGGCTGGAGGCCAGGGCACTGAGGCAAGAAGCGAAGCACTGTTAATAGGACACTGAGGCTGGGAGGCAAAGTGGCTCCCCAGGGGATGGCCGGACAGGAAGAATTCCAACCCAGGGACCTCCCGGTCCTCATCCATCTCTAGCTCACTCGCTACCCTTCCCACCTGGGTCAGGACCACAGCTGTCACACAGCATCAGATGCCCGCAGAGCTTGCCAGCACCTCAGGCATGACCCAAGGCCTCTCTCTGCAGCCCCGGACGAACAGTAGAATTTCTCGGAAGAGCCCAGCCCCACCCTAGGGGTTCCAGTTTAGGGGCTCGGGGGTGGGGCCAAGGCCTCAGTAGCTTTGAAAAGCTCTGCAGGTGATTCTCTTGGGCTGCCAGGGTTGAGGACAAGTTACAGATGGGGAAATCGAAGCCTCCAGTGGCTGCCTATGCCCTCAGAGAGGGCGTGTGCTCAGCAGTCTGCCACAGCCCCCACCTGGCCTCTGTCACTCATCCATGGACCCTCGTTGCTGCCAGCATCTGCATATAAGATACCAGACTGTGTGCTGTACACAAGGCAGGGGAGGACATTCGTACGCACACAGCTGTGAACAGTAATTACCTGTAACATGTAAGATTAGGAAGCAGGAAGTTTCACTTTTTCTTCATCGGATTAGTCATGTGAAAACATTTTATACCAAGCATCATTTTTCTAATGATGATGATGGTAATAAAACCAATGAAGAGAAGCTGAAATAAATAGGAAAACCGAGGTGCCGAGAGTCCTTAACCATTTACCCAGGGCCCGGCCCTGAGCTTCCCGTGACCACAGAGAAACAGGCCAGTGTGGCAAAGTCTCCAAAGCTTCTGCCCTTTCTGGGTCCGGAGATCACTGGCCGGTTGGGAGCTTGGCTTACGTAAGGGCTTATTCAAATCAGACCAGTCCCTGAGCTTGTGTCAGGCAGGGAACCGAGGCCTGTGGCATTTATCATCTTACAGCAGCCCCGGGACAGCCTGGGAGAACCTTCCTCTTTACACCTGGGGAAACTGAGGCCCAGAGGTGGCTTATGGTCGGGATCAAGATGACCCAGTGGGCCAGCGGCAGCGGCAGCCTTGTTCCCGGGACTGTTGGTTCTCCACCCCTGAATCTCACTCCATCCCCAAAGGCACCCACCTGGCTCTCAGGAGGTCAGACCTGGAACCGCTAACCAGCCTCACCTCCCTGGGTTGCTGAAAGGTTCCTGACGTTTCCCACACAGAAGGCCCCCACAAAAGAGTTCTTGCATCAAATTAGGTAAAGAACACCCCAGGGAAAGTCAAAGGCCCCCAAGTCAGACAGGTTTACATCCATTAATTCACTTAGCACTCACAACCACCTAGATGGTAAGTATTAATACCCCCATTTTACGTATGAGGAAACTGAGGCTTAGAATAGTGAAGTAACTGGTCCATTCATTCGTTTATTAATTCCACGCATTTATTGAACATCCACTACGTGCCAACAGCATTCTAGGTGAACAAGACTACGCCAGTGTAGACTGCCCACGGCAACGGAAAAGGCTGACGCAAGCCCCCGTGGAACCGGGAGTCCACGGAGGAGGCATAGGAAACACACCCCTCTCCCGGCTGGGAGTCTTGGAAAGGGCGACCCACAGAAGGGTAGGCTGTTATTACCCGCTCCTCCCCGTTCCTGGAAACCTCATCATGGTTTTTATACAATTGCCACTTATCAGCCACTTCCTATGTGCCAGGCTCTCCTTTCTCATGTGAGCTTCGCAACGATGTACAGCAAATGGGAGGTTTGGGCCTCATTTTATAGGTGGGAAAAGAGCCTCGAAAGGAGGCCCCTCTCCTGGCCTCATGAGTGAACAGCAAAGGAGGAGGGCAAGCCTTCACCCAGCCTGAAAGGTTGCTTTTTGAAGAATGGCATCTTGGGCATTCCTAAAGGAAAGACAGGGTTGATGACCCAGCTTTGTTTGGGCAGCGAAAAAGAGGGCAAAGAGGGAAGAGTGGGAGAGTTTAGATTCAAAAGCCAGAAGGGCCCTTTACTGGTTCAGGGACACTGGGCAAACACTTCACCACTCTGAGTGTCCGTTTGCCCCTCTGAAAATGGGCATGATAACAGGGCCACCCCTGCGGGCCTGCAGTGGAGGATCTATGAGAACACACATGTAGAAGGACACTGGGGAGGCCACCACTCACGTGGCCTCTCGGTCCCCAAGGCAGTGCAAGAAGCAGAGCTGTATAAAGGAACAGAAGAGAAGCTGCAGGGCTGCCCTCCAAGGCTGAGGACCCCAGGGTCTTGTCCAGTGGGCCCCACCCTGCCCCAGGCTCTGTCTTGCTCCGGCATGGTGCTTATAAGCACAGACTCCGGATTCAGACAGAGCTCAGCAACGAACTCACCATGTTACTTTGGGCAAATCATTTTGCCTCTCTGAGCCTCAGTCTCCTCATCTGTAAAATGGGGATCATTGACCTCATCGAACTGTATGAAGATTAACTGAGCTAATGAGTAAGAAAAATGTAGCACAGTATCTGGCATATGGTGGGTCTGTAGAAAATGACACTCATACTATCATTGTTGTTGTTGCTATGGGTGTCCCTCATGGACTTAAAGCCCCTGGGAACCTCCTGGCCCCTGTCCTGGCTCACTAAAGAGTCTCCACTCCCTGCACCCCGTCCTCACCGCCTGCCAGCAGGACAGAGCACAGAACCCGGCTGAAAGGGGACATCTCTCTCTGCACTGGAATTAGCCTAGTTTCAGGACCTGGGGCTGATCATTAACCAATCCTTGCTCTCTGATCCCACTGCCTGTGAAAGCAGTGTCTGCCCCAGCCTCCCAGACCCTCCTACCCGCCGGCATCCTGCAGCAGAAGAGAAAAGATTCTGCGTTTCACCTTGCAACCAACACTGTGTGCGACCCTGGACAAGCCCCTTTCCCTCCTGGGTCTCAGATTTTTCATCTTTATAATGAGGGAACTGGCTTCCAAACATTTTCTTTTTGGCCACTAGACTCTTTAAAAAAAAAAAATCTTGTGTGGGAGGCAAAATAACAGAGGTTAAGAGGACAGGCCCTGAAGCCAGCCAGCCTGGATTCAACACCAGCGCCACTGTTTTGAAACTATGTGACCTCGGGGCTACTTTATCCTCTTTTAAAATTTCTTCCTCAATTTCCATTCCTCTAAATGAGGTCAGTGTTGGCTCCACCTCACTCAGAAGTAAGGCCCTAGGAAGAGTTCTTGCCTAAAGTAAGTGTTCAATAAACAGCTGTGCTTGTTACTTGGAAGCTCAGTGTACAAAACAGAAAAAGTGGGGGCAGCTGGGGTTGAAACGGGGGCGGGAGAAGAGTCTCACTACTTGCTGCCACCCCAGGGCAAATATGAGGCGGTTCTGTTGGAGTCCCAAGATTCAAGGGAAACGATCCGAAAACCGAGGGAGCTTACGGGATCTGCGAACTACGGCCCCTGGCCTCTGGACTGAACCCAGCCCACTGCCTGCCAGCCAAGAATGGTTTCAATATTTTTAAATGGCTGGAAAAAATCAGTAGAAGAATAAGATTTTGTGATGTAAACACTATATAAAATTTTAAGTTCAGCACCCATAAATAAAATTTCACTGGAACACAGCCACACCCACTCTTTACATATTGTCTAGGGAGGCTTTCTCTCTGCAAGGGCTGAGTTGATTGGTTGTGACAGAGTGGCCAGCAAAGCTGAAAACACTTACTATCTGGTCATTTTTAGAAACCGTTTGCTGAGCCCTGCTCTAGAGCATCTCTTCCCTTCCGTGTGGAAGACTTTGACCCTGCATAGATCCTGGCTCTGTTACTTTACCACCAACGCGATTGATTCTGGACTATCACCTCACCTCTCTGAACCTCATCTATAAAATACTTAGAATCATTTCTAGCTCTCAGGGCTGTCGTGGAAATAAATAAGCAAGCCCCCTTATTGCGTGATGGGAAGTACCCATACCCCACTAAATGAGATTAACTTAGATGGCGCATGGATCAATATTTAGATTTTTGACAGATATATATTTATTTTAATGCATATTCAAAAAATACAACTAGCACACAAAACCCAGGGTTTCATGGATAATGTTTGCTGTATTAGGTGGGGTAAATGGTCCAAAGCTACGGAGGCAGATCTGCCATCCGTCTTTCAATATGCAGCTTCCATCTTTGGGTCCCAGGTAGCATCTCTTGCCCCCACCATCATATTCACATTCCAGCCAGCAGGCATAGAGAGCAGGACGGCAGGACCAGGAAGTTGCACACAACATTCCCACTCATATCCCATTAGCTAAACTGAGGCACCTGACCACATCTAATTGCAAGGGAAGCTGGGAAATTCAACCTTTTCTCTGCACAGCCATGTGCCCACGCAGGGGTTCTATTACTAAAAGAACAAACGAAGAATCAATACCAGGGATAAGCCAGCAATCTCTGCCCACACACGTACCAATTTAAAGCTTCCTTCTAAAATACGTTTATGTACATAAAAAGAAAGACTTTTTAAAGCAGACAGGATGTGGCAGCCATTTTGCAACCACGAGGGAAAGACCAAGGAAACCACAGAGATGCCAATCAACAGTCCTGATATCTTTGTGCCTCTGAATTGACCCTGGAACTGCCTTTCTCGGACTTCTTGATATTTGAGGAAAATAAATCCCTATGCTTTAAGCTACTTGTAGACAGGCATTCTTTTTCTTATAGCCAATAGAATTCTCACTTTCGTGGATCAGAGAGTGGGCTGTGGAGCCAGACTGCCTGGGTGCAAAGTCAGGTTCAGCCATTTGCCCTCTGTGTGAATTGAGGAAGTCACTTCCCCTCTCTGAGCCCTCACTGAGTCATCTGAAAACATGGTGGCTCCTTGTGTGTTGTTTAGTTTAGAACACAGCTTCAGAGGGCTGAGTGAATCCAATCCCTCAGTTCACGGCACGTTATCACTATTCATTGCACGAGGCCCCTTTTGTTTCTTTAGTCCCTTTTATCCTTGTTTCCCACTCCCATCCTTCCCGGAGCAACCATTCTGATGTGTTTAATGTGTAGCTTTTCGTTGGCTCATGTTCTTGCAAAATGTTTAATCATTTGCGTATTTTTAATCTGCATAACAGCATTGTGCTCTATGTCTCGTTCTGGCTTTTTTTTTTTTGCGGTCACAACCGTGCTTTATGAGATCCATATACGTTCTGCTAATTCTTTGTCCCTAAAAGCAGCACGGTGCTGGGTGGTGCACCCACCACGCTTGACCTTCCTTTTACTGATGATCACGTTCACGTGGCTGCCAACCCGCCACGGCACAGAGAAGGCTGCAGCGACCTTCGTTGCACAGGTCCCCTCACGAGTCTGTGTCTGAATTCCTCTAGCATTTGCAACCAGGAGCGAAACTGCTGGGTTGCAGGGTAGATGCACACTTAATCCGATTAAACAGTTGCAGACTGCCCTTATGAAAGGCTGGCCCAGCCTACACTCCAGCAGTGCACGGAGTTTCCGTCGCCCCCGTTCCCGCCAACACTGGGCATTACCCAGCTTTCTCATTCTTGCCAGTCTCATTGAAGTAAATCTCACTGTTGTTTTAGCTTGCACGTCTCTGGGTATTAGTGATTTTAAGCATCTTTTCAAATGCTTTAAAACAAGGTTTACTGATAGTATCTACTTTCTAAGGCTGTTTTGAGAGGTAAAGGAGATAATGTATGTAAAGTGTTTAACCCATTGCTTAGTACACAGTAAGTGCTCAATAAATGCAAATTTTAAAGAAAATCAGGTACCATGGATTGACTTTGTTAATGCTCAGTTATTATTATTATTATTGAAACACTTGGCACACAGTAGGTGCTTACTAAGTGCCTTCCCTTCACCTTCCATGACACCCTTTTGACATCCCACTCCCACTCCTCCACACTGGTGGCGTTGGCCCCCAGTCCCTCCTGCGGCCTCACCTGTGTTCTCTTCACTCTCCCTCCTGAGGTCCTTCCGAGTCTCCCTGTGGCCAAAGAGACTCTTCAGGATGGCATTGGCAATGGGCAGCATCATGGCGGTGGAGGCGGTGTTGCTCAGCCACATGGACAGGAAGGAGGTGGTCATCATCATTCCCAGGATGAGTCTAGGAACAGAGGGAGACAGGGGCAGGTCCAGAGCCAGGGACCAGGAGGTCTTCTGGTCCCCGTTTGCCACCCCCAAGGAATCCAGCCCACTCGTTTTATAGGTGAAAAATTAAGGCCCAGCGAGGACAAGCCAGGGACGAAGCAGGGACCAAATCCACTCACCAGGCTTATTTCAGATCTAAGGAAACTGGCTCAACATGTTTAAGTGAACTGACCGGGTACTCAACGTAAAATAGTTCCAAAGACCCCCCAACCCTGAAATTTCCTCTCCTTTGCCCTCCCATCCTGATGGCTCCCACTGCAGAATAAAGGTGCCTTGCTTTGGCACCAACACTCCCCACCATCTCACCCTGAATGGCCTTCCCAGCCTCCTCTGCCCTTGCCCTCCCACTCCTGCTGGGCACCCCTGCTCAGGCTCCACTGAGCTTCCTGCCAGCACCCAGACACACCCAACCTCGTGCCTGCCTGCCATGGCTCGGTCCTTCCCTCCATGGGAATCTGAGTTTCACGATTTTTTCTCTTTATGTGGAACTCTGAATCCACCTGGATTTTATTTAGCTATCTAGTATGAAGTCAGATCTAAGTAGATTTTTTTTCAAAGAATAAACCGATTATTCCAACCTCCATCATTTATTTAATAATCTTTCCCCTCTCCACTGATTTAGATTTCTTCTAGAATATTTTTCCTGCGTTTTTAAGATCTGTTTCTGAACTACTGTCAAACTGCCTGTTTTCACTGCTGTAACTTTATGTCTGAAAGCAGCCCCATCCATTCTTCAAGGTCAAACGTAACCTCCTCCGTGAAGAAGTCACCCCTGCCTCTCCCGTGGGCTGCCACACCACATGTGCCCCTTGGGTATCAAATTCTGCTTTATGGATGGACTCTCTCCGCAGGACTGACAGTGCCTCCAGGAGGAAACACAGCTACAGAGCCTAGCAGAGTGCCTGGCACAGAGCAGATGCTGGAAACCTAGGTGTTAGCCAGGTTATCCGGACTCTTTTTCCTAACCACCTCCCCCCATCGATTTTATCAACCAAAGAGTTCTCAACTCTATCCATTCTGTCCATCTGCACTGCCACCACCTAGTCCAAGCTGCCACCCTCTCTTGTCTGGACACCCAGAACATTCTCCTAACTAGGCTGCATCCAGCTTCCCATCCCTCAGCTATTTTCCACACGGCAGCCAAGAGGAATTGTTTAAAAATGCAAATCTGGTCACATCACTCCCCAGCTTAGAGCTCTTTAAAGCAGAGATTCATAACCAAGGGGAGCATGGATATAACTCACGACAGAAATGATGGGGGAAAAGCATCTTTATTTTATTAACGTCTAACAGAAGTTAAACATTTCCTTTTGGAATAAACATAGGCAACAAAGTTCAGTAGTATTAGAAGTGCCCGGGACTTTGTCACCAATTAAAACCACAGATATCTTCATACACATTACAACAGTTGCAGACATCCTGGAATATCACTGCCACTCAAAACTGCCTAACTACAGTTGCTATCAGGCCGGTTGCTAGAGCTTATCATTTACTGCAAAGGAGTACATAGCGTACCATATCACAAATTTGTGTGTTGTTAAAAATGTATTTGCATTTTGCTGTAACTGTTGTGAATGTTGTTTTAAATCCTAAGCGTTGTGCGCTTTGTACATTTAAAAACATTATGCTAGGAAGGGATCCTTAAGACTCATCAAATTGCAAAAAAAAAAAAAAAATTAAAGGAGCAACAATAATGCTACTTTAAAGGCCACTCAATCCTCTTAGAATAAAGTTCACATCCTAGCCAGAGGCCTAACCACAGGAACGGACCCTGCCTCCCTGTCTCTCCAACGCCATCTTTCCACCCACTTGCTACCCACCTTGTCACCATGGCTGGTACATAGTAAACTAGGATGACAGCAGCCAGGATTTACTGCACTGCATGGGTCTACGCTATTTTATCCTCATTCCACAGGCAAAGAGAGGTTAAGTCACTTTCCAGGGCAGGAGAGGCCTGAACCATGCTGCTAACAGGAAGCCCTCTAAAGCCACTAGACACTCATCCCCGAGGGTGGAGCCTGCCAAGAAGCATTTCAACTGGCTTCGTGGGCGATTCTGACGCACTTCTGAGAACTGCCCAAAAGACTAGTAGTGTGTCTGGCACACGGAGGGAGCTCACTGTCTGAGGAATGAATAAGCAAACGGAAGGCGGGACATGATGAGTCCGTCGGCCTGGGTGATTAAACCAGGAAGAGTGAGTTTGGGCTCCAAGAGACGTGGTCCCTCTGCCTCCCCGCCCTTGGGCTGGACCCATTCCCTGGCCTTACCTGGCCGGCTGGACCCCAACGAACATCAGGACCTTGAGGGCTATTCTCCGGTGCAGGTTCCACTCCTCGATGGCGGTGGCCATTATCAGCCCACTGAGGAAGAGGAAGTTGGTGTCCAAGAAGTACTGGGGGCAGACCTTGTTGGAGGGCAGGATGCCCAAGAAGGGAAAGAGGATGATGGGCAGCAGGGACGTCACTGAGAGGGGCAGGGCCTCCGTGCACCAGTACACCGCCATGAGCAGGATGACAAACAGGCAGCGGCCTTCCTGCAGGGGGGAGACGCAGGCTCAGGAGGGTCAGCCGAGCTCAGGGTGGCAGCAGGAAAAGAGGGCCTGGAGCAGGGCCTGTCAGGGTGCGTTCCTCAGGGAGGCAGTGGAGAGGGTGAGGGCCCAAGGCTTTGACCTTGAGCAGGTGGTGTCACCTATCTGAGCCTCATTTTGCTCAACTATAAAACAGAGAAGCTATATCTGTCCATTTTATAGGACTGTTTGAGGATTATAAGAAATACCCCATTGTCTTAGAAGTAGATACTGAGATGAGCATGACAGTGATAACAGTTTACTTGATAGAGGATCCCAGAAAGTTCTGGAAGGGTAGTGGGGAAGCGAAACAGAGAAGGAAGCCAATACAGAGTGTGTTGAGAAGGTTACCACTGTGGGATGCTGGGGCTCAATCCTGATGGGGACCCTGGTTGACGGTATAGATCGTGCCTCAAAGTTGCCTCCCTGGGAGGCAGGAAGCTGGGCTATTTATCTTCCAACTCCTGGCCATCTTAACTCCCCAGCACTTCCGGCATGCCCCAAGCACAGGCTGAGCACGCTCCTGCAGCCAGAGAGCACACGCATACAGAGCATTTCAGGTGCAGTAAGAAGCCATCACACATGCAGAGTGGCAGGTGCCAATGGGGATGTGGAGGGAGCACCAGTAGCAACTGCCACATCTACACCCAGCACATAGCACAATGCCCATCAGATAGTGCACACTCTATAAATAGGAATAATAACAAGTGATATTTATTGGGTTATTAAGTACCAGATACTATCTATTCCTCACAAAATCTCAGTGAATTCAGTGTAATTATTATCCCCATTTTATAGATTAGGAGGGTGAGATGCAAGGAGGTCACTAACAAGACAACGGCTGAGAGAACAAGGCAATCTTAACCTTGTTAAGCCAACGCTCTTAACCAGGTACATGCAGCTGTTATCAGCTGAACACTAGGACCACTGACAGGCAGACAATGCAACTTTAAAGATTCAAAACCAAACAGATTCAGTGGTTGCTGGGGCTAGGGCGGGAGGTGTGTGTGTTGTAAGGGGGTCAGGGGGGCTGCAAAGGAGAGCAAGGGGATTTTTGGGGTGATGGAAATGTTCTTCACTCAGATTGGGGTGGTGGTTACATGGGCATGTACATTTGCCAAAACTTGTCAAACTATTCACCTGCTTGCGAAACAAGAGGCAATGATGACAATGTCGTCACTTTTTTTTTTTTAAGATTTTTATTCCTCCCTTTTCTCCCCAAAGCCCCCTGGTACATAGTTGTATATCTTTAGTTGTGGGTCCTTCTAGTTGTGACATGTGGGATGCTGCCTCAGCATGGCTTGATGAGTGGTGCCATGTCCAAGCCCAGGATCTGAACCGGCGAAATTCTAGGCCGCCGAACTTAAGCATTCGGCCACACGCCCGGCCCCAATGTCTTCACTTCTGATATATCAGTGTCTCAGAGGATTCATAATAAATCATGTCTTACTATTCATACGGTCGCTGAATAAAGCTACTTACTGCCCTGACCTTGCTTTCTTATGTTCTCTCAAGGCAATGATCTTGCATGCTTCAGTACGCAGACAATCCCTTGGATTTGGTGCTGTTTGGTGCCATTTCATGTTTCTTACTTCTTACTCACAGTAGGTTTTGCTGACTTTATTCAGTGTCCATAGGACATTGAAGTGAATTCCATCCTAACAAGCATCATCCTAATAGAATGCATCCTCTGCTACACAGAACGGGCATCAAGCTGTGTGCAGACACATGATTGGTTACTCCATCTAACCGACGGGCAAGGGCAGGACCAGGGAGACCAATGAGATGGCTCTGGTAACAGTCCAAGCAAAGATACTGGGAGCTAGGGTCTGGTGGGAGCAGTGGTGGTAGTGAGAAGCGGTCAAATTCTGGATCTATTTCCAAGCTGGAGCTTGACAGCTTTGCCAAGGATCTGTTAGGATGTGCGAGGCAAAGAAGAGAGGCTAAGGGTAACTCCAGTTGTTGGCCTCAGCAGTGGGAAGAACCAGGCTGTCATTTACCCAGATGGGGAAGACTACAAGACCCGCCCACATCCATTTCCATACCTTCAAAACATCCTGAAACTCTGCCTGACATACCCTCCACTGGAGAATTTCCATTCCCTGAGTGCCTTAGCTTCTGTCATCAGTGCTCACACTCACTCTCGCAATTTACACACCTACAGAAAGCTTCCTGCAGAGGCATTTCTGTACAACAAATCCTATTTTCCCAATTATCTATTTTTGTTGTTTGTTACCTATGTCTTTGGTGTTGCATCCAAGAAATCATCACCAAATCCAACATCCTGAAGCTTCTGTCCTATGTTTTCTCCTAAGATTTTTACAGTTTTAGGTCTTACCTTTAGGTCACAGATCCATTTTGTGTTCGTTTTTGTATGTGGTGTTGGATAAGGGTCCAACCTTCTCCTTTCGCATGGGGACATCCAGTTTTCCCAGCACCATTTGGTGGACTGTCCTTTCCCCATTGGCACTCTTGTCAAAAATCATTTGACCGTACACTCGAGGGTCCATTTCTGGGCTTTCTATTCTGTTCCATTGGTCTACGCATCTGTCTTGATGCCGGTACCGCACAGTTTGGACTCCTGTAGCTTTGTAGTTAAGTTTTGAAATCAGGAAGTGCGAGGCTTCCAGCTTAGTTCTTCTCTTTCAAGATTGTTTCGGCTATTCAGGGTCCCTTGAGATTCCACATGAATTTCAGGATAGGTTTTTCTATTTCTGCAAACAACGTCGTTGGGGTTTGGATAGGGATTGCATTGACTCTGTAGATCTCTTGGGTATTGAAATTTTAACAATATTAAGTTTTTCAATCCATGAACACGAGATGTGTTTCCATTTATTTATGTCGTCTTTAATTTTTTCCAGCAATGTTTTGTAGTTTTCATTGTACAAGTCTTTCGCCTCCTTGGTTAAGTTCATTCCTAAGTATCTGATTCTTTTTGATGCTATCATACATGGAATTGTTTTCTTAATTTCCTTTTCAGATTATTCGCTGTTAGTGTATAGAAATGCAACTGATTTTTGTGGGTTGACTTTGTATCCTGCTACTTTGCTGAATTCATTTATTAGTTCTAACAGGTTTTTTTGGTGGCATCTTTAGGGCTTTCTACATATAAGATCATATCGGCTGTAAACAGAGACAATTTGACTTCTTCCTTTCCAGTTTGGCTTCCCTTTATTTCTTTTCCTTGCTCTGGCTAGAATTTGTAGCACTACCTTGAATAGAAGTGGGGAAAGAGGGACTTCTTGCCTTGTTTTTAATCTTAGAGGAAAAACTTTCAGTCTTTCACCATTGAGTATGAGGTTCACTGTGGGTTTTTCACATATGGCTTTTATTGCGTTGAGGCAGTTTCCTCCTATTCCTAGTTTGTTGACTGGTTTTAATCATGAAGGAGATATACAAATAGCCAATAAGCACATGAAAAGATGCTCGACATGACTAATCATTAGGGAAATGCAAATCAAAACTACAATGAGATACCAGCTCACACCTGTTAAGATGCCCGCTATTTTTTTTTAAAAAAACAGAAAATAAAAAGTGTTGGTAAGGATGTAGACAAATCAGAATCCTTGTGCACTGCTGGTAGGAACATAAAATGGTACAGCTACTATGGAAAACAGTGTGGTGTTTCCTCAAAAAACTAAAAATAGAATTACTATATGACCCAGCAATTCCATTTCTGGGTATATATCCAAAAGAACTGAGAGCAAGGTCTCAAAGAGATATTTGTATACTCATGTTCATAGCAGTGTTATTCACAAGAGCTATAACATGGAAGCAATCCAAGTGGCCATCAATGGATGAATGGATAAGCAAAATGTGGTATATACACACAATAGAATATTACTCAGCCTTAAAAAGGAAGGAAATTCTAACATATGCTACAACATGGATGAACCCTGAGGGCATGATGCTCAGTAAATAACCCGTCACTAGCGGACAAATACGGTATGATTTCACCTATATGAAGTGCCTAGAGCAGTCAGTCATTCAGGCAGAAAATAGAAGGGCGCTTGCCGGGGGCTGGGGGAGGGAAGAACGGGGAGTTATTATTTAATGGGTATAGGGTTTCAGTTTTACAAGATGAAAAGAGTTATGGTGATGGTTGGTAATGGTTGCATGACATTATGAATATTTAATACCAATGAACTGTACACTGAAAAATAGCTAAGATGGTAAATTTTATGTTCTATGTATTTTACCACGATAAAAAAAATTGGAAAAAAATTCTATTTTCCTATTGACTTAAGGATACATTTTTCTGGAGGAGAAAAGTAAAATAGACTCCCAGAGTTAAAACACTCAATTACACTTCCAAATATCTAAAATTACTTCTTTGGGGGCAGAGAAGAAGAATTGTAAAACAAATGAGCAGAACTTGAAACGAATATTCCAACACATCAGGTTATTGGATGCACGTTTGACAGATCGAAAGCAAAAGCAGTAATACAGAATCAAATCCCACGACTAAAAGTTCCCTAAGTTTTGATTTCTCATCATCCTTTTGGTTCCTAAACCAGGCAGAACCTGGGTGAGAGATCTTAGATAATTACAGATCTACAACTATTTATAACTTCCAGCCCTTTGTCCAAGCAAAGCGGTATATTGAATCACAATGGATAAACCACATAAACCCTGAATGTGAAATTCAGTTAAAAAGGCGTTTTTCTGGGAGAAGCGCGATGACGGGCTCTCCACTGGGCCCGTCTGTCCTCTCCCTCCCTTCCCCCAACCCTGGCAGCCCCTAAGACCTCCTTGATTCAGGAATTCAGAGGAGGACAGTCAGACCATCACCAGCCCCCTGGCTTTACAGATGTGGAGACTGAGACCAGAGAGGGGAAAGGTCAGACAGTAGATAGGTATCAGAGCTGTTTCTAGAATTGCGACCTGGGGGACTCCCCAGGCAGCTGAGACCCTGCACTGAAAGGCCCTCGTAGCCTCAATAGGTGCTTGGAGCCAAAGGGCACCAT